TTCATCAAAAAAAAAACAAATCTGGGGGGATGGGTTTTTGTTTCCTTTTGAGGGTATACCCAACAATTTGGTTTTTGGGAAAAGGGGTTGGGTGAAGATAAAAGGGAAAAGGGAACGACTAAAAACCCAAAAGGGGTTTTTTGAGACAATGAATTTTCTGAGATAGTTGAGATGTCCCTTTGTGGTTCCCTTTTTTTCCGAGACACGTTGTTTCTGAAAAATTTGGTAACAGTTTTCGAGTCGTTTGATGATTTGAATCCCAACTTTTTTTTTTGGGTGTGGGATGAAGTTGTTTTAAGGAGTATTGTCAAACTTGAACTTTTAATTTTCAGTTGAAACCCTTTTTTGGTTTCCCCTGATGATTCTTTTTTTATTTCTGAACCTATGTGGGTTTTATTTTTTTTGGAGTTCCGGGGTCAGTTCAGCTCCCATTTTTTTTTCTGAACGTTGGTCGATTCGGATTTGTTCCTTTGATTCTGAACCGTTGGTCGGTTCTTTTTTTTTTTCCCCGATTCTAAACCGTTGGTCGGGTTTTGATGATGATATTTTTTTTTGTTTTTTTTGGGGTTCAATTACTGAACCTTTCCATTTTTTGTTAAACCAATTGTTACACCAAAATCCCGTTTTTTATTCTTTTTTCTTTCTTTTGTTCCCTCATGTTGTTTTTTGTTTTAATTGTCGTCTACCTTTTTTTCCTTGGGTTTAAGTCTTCAGTTCCCCCGTTTTGTTGCTGAAACACATTCTGCGAGGCCAACTTGTTTTTGGGTCTGATTCTTTGACTTTATCCATGATACCGGGCCCAGTCACATTTGCAATAACATCCATATTTTTTTTCTCTTCGTCCCCTTCGGCTACCACGTGGTCTTGGTTCTGCTACTGTGGGGTTGGGACATTGTCGTTTATCTTCTTGGGAAAGATGCCAGCCTTTGGGCCGCGTTGTTTTTCGAGTGTTTTATATGTTTAAGATTCCTGTTTATTTGCTCTCGTCGAGCTACCGGTGGTTTAGGGTTTTCGCCTAACATATTTTCGTGAAAATGGCAAAATCGAGTCCACGCCATTGCCTGGGGGACTTGTACTTTTCGTTTCCGAGTTGTTTTTCCTTCCGCCGTCCAGAGGTGTTTGCTGTTGAGTCGTTGAATTTTGGCAAAAACGATTTCCCCCATGTGGAGCTCAAAAAAATCTAAGTCACTTTCTGTCAAGCCTACCATTTTGAGGTTGTGGGTAGTCGGGTGGTTTTTGGGTGGCAAAACCCATTCCATTTAAGGTACCACAGAAAACTAGTGTCCGGGAAATTTTTTGTTTCTGATTTGAGGGCTCATGTCGCTACCCTGTGGGTCATCGAGTCTTAACCATTATGGATTATTATTCCAGGTACTCTTGTGGAGTTGTTGGTTAGAAAAGGATGCAAGTCTTGCCATTTGTAACTTTATTGCTGGGTGATCTTTTTTGGTGTTCCGGGGGTCGAGTTATATTTTTATTCTGATAATGGCGGCTTCATTTCCAAAGACCTGGAAGTTTTTTTGGGCTAAGGGTATCAAAATTTTACAGTTCCTCATACTCCAAAATGGTTGTTACATTGAATCGCACATTATTTGAGAAAGCCAAGTCTATGCTTTTTTATGCTCATGCTCCTGAATACATTGGGGGAAACCAAATTTTTTAATTATTTAGGAACCCTTTTTTTATCGTACCACTGGTGGTTTGGACCCCTTCAACTTTGGACTGGTAAACCCCCAGTTATCACCATATGAAAGTATTTGGTTGTCAAGCCAGTTGTTCTTCCGGGGTTAAAAAAAATTAAGTTAAGTTCAAATACGAAGCTGGGGTTTTTTTGGGATTCTTTGGATCGTACAGCTTATCGAGTTCTTCTTGTTCAAGCATTGTTGAAGCCAGGGGTGTTTTCTTTGATGAGTCCCAAATTTCCATTTTGAAAAATGATAAGGGCTTGTCTATTAATGGTAGGTTGGGTTTAGTTTTTTGGTTGGGTCCATGGACCTTTTTTTTTTCTAAGGGACTGGGTTTGGGTCAATGTTGGGGTTTAAATTTTATTGCTAGTTCGGTTTGTTTGTTCTGTTTTGGGGCCAAGTCACCCATCCTCATCTGGTTCTGGTTCTGGTTCTGGGTTTTGGCCCCTTTTTATTTTCTTTCCCCGTCTCCGTCTTCTTTTTCCGTCTCATTTTCCGTCCCCCCCTTCTTCTTTTTTCTATTATTGTTCATAAGCCTGTTCTGTTCGCCATTTTTTCTACACCCTGCTCCCCTTGAGTCTCCCACCTTCCTTCTATTGCTTGTTCCTCCTTCCTAGTTCTATTCTTCCACCTTCGATCGTGTTCTATCTCCCGACTCTAGTCCCATTATTTCTTCTTCGGGAAAATATTCCCTTTACAATTAGACTTATCTGAAACTGGGCCATCTATTAATGAATCTGATATTTGGTGATTTGGGGTCTCAAGGGGGTGATATTGGGGTTAACCGTCTATCATTGGTCTCCCCTCCACCACCTTTTTTGAATTGAAATAGTGCCACTTTGTCAAAAATCTCCTTCGTCTGATCTTGTTAATTTCTAAAGCTGGTGTTATGGTACAAGGATGATACTCAAGGGTTTTTTAAATTCGATCTCGTGTTGTTGCTGTTCTTTTTTCCTTCTATAACTCCTGCCAAACGCCCAGTTCTATGACTTTTTTTCACCTCCTTCAAACACCTTTGAAAAACTTTTAAACAATCTCCCGTGTCGCCCCCTGCAAAAACCCTGGGAAGGTGATTTTTATCGTCGTCTCAAATCCTCCGCTTTGAGTATGATGATGGGCTTTACTTGTTTTTCAGATCCAGTAGTTTTAAGAAGGTCTAGTGAAGGCGAGTTTTTGGGTTGAAGCCGTGTTATTGAAATGTCGTCTCAAACCAAAAGGGATTTTTGGTTTGGTTTATCTCCCCCCGGTCGCAAATCAAAAGCAAATGGGATTTAAAGTTAAGCGCAAAGCACGGGTTTAATTGAAAGTTACAAAGCTCGTCCTTGGGTTTGGGTTTTCCGGGGGTTGATTTACTGAAAATTTTTCCTTGTTTTGGGGACGTGAGGTTTTTGTATTTTATTTGGGGGCATTTATATGGGGCAACGCATTTTTTAAGGGTTTAAAAAAAAATTTTTAAAAATTTTAAAGGCTTTGTTTCCTTTTAGGGAATTAAAATGTTCATTTTAAAAATTTTAATTTGGTTTAAAGCAAGCCCTTTTTTTGGGGGTAGAGTTAGGTTCCGGGAAAAAGGGGTTTATTCTTTTAAAGAAAGTGGCTCGGTGGTAACCGGATTGGGTCTACCTGGCATTAGCACTGATGTTGATATTTACTTATTTCTAATTTTTGAAATCATTCCCAAAAAAAACTCGCATTATGTTTAAATAAAGCTTGGCCCCGCGAGCGTTCCGGCATGAGGTTGCGACCTTCCTTTTTGGTTTTCCCTTTTTTTTGCGTTGGAAGATTATGCGAAAACTGTTGGTCAAGCCCTTTAACCGTATCTTTCGATTTTATCTGCCTGTCCATGCCTCCAGTTCGCGGGTTTAGGTAAATGATTTTTTGTCAAATTTGGGCCGTCCTGATCCCTTGCGTTCTGTTATTTTGTCGATATTTTGCAGACCCAAGTTATTCTATGGGGTTTTAAGATACTTTCGTTATCTAAAAGGGACTGCGAAATTTTTTTTTGAAAACGGCCAGAAAGTCACAAGCTTGTTGGGTTAGTGAGCACATCAAGGACAAACGGGAGTAAATCCATGGGGTTTTTTTCCCCTTCGTTTGGCCCAAATTTTGGGCTTGTGAAAGCAAGTTAGTCCCATGTAAAACCAGCTGGTTTTTTCATTGCTGAGGTTAAAATCTTCTGGAAACTTTTTTGGGCTTTTAAAAATTCCTTTCCTTAAAACCCATTTTTAAAATCTTTTCTTCTCAAAATGTTTATCTGACCCAAATATTATTTTCTTTTATATTTTTTTTACATATTCCGGGTATTCACATTGGTCTCAAGGGTGTTGAGAAGTTCATGAATTTGTTTGTAATTAGACAGGGGGAAAATTTGGGGGAAGGCATAGGTGATTTGGGAAAAGGGAAAGGGGTTTAATAAAGTTTCGAATAGGGGGTGTAAGATATTTTAAATATTTAAATTATGTTTATTTTTTTTAAAACCCCAAGGTTTAAGTTAAGGGGTTTGGTTTCTCCAATTTTTTAAAAGTTAAAATTTAAAAAAACCCCCTCAATTTGGGTTAAAAAAAAAAAACAAAAAATTTTTTTTTGGAAAATTTTTAACTTTAAATTTTTTTTTTTTCTTTTTCTTTTTTTAATAATGTTTTACTTATATAATTTTCAATTAAATTTTTTGGAAAAAAAATTTTTATTTTATCAGATTCCCCGGCAATTCAACAGCGGCTACCAAGGATAGGGCCCCTTTACTTTTAGTGTTTCCGTGGGTTCAAAGGGAAAAACAAAACAAAGGGTTAAGGGGAAAACGAGATGTTTAACCCTTTAAAAAAACAGTTTTTGAAATTTGGGTTTTATAAAATTTAAAAAATGATAAAAAAAAATAAAAAAATAAAATAATAAAATAATAAAAGTTCGCTATCATACCTAAAGCAAGAGTTAATAAGTAAATACGATTGATAAGCTGAAAGCTGAAAGAGTTTTTAATAAAACAGTTTTGCGTAAATTTAGGTAGAGAAAAAAAAGAGAAAGAAAACAAGAAAGGTTTCTGTAATGAAGAAATTTTAAAAAGAGCATCTTGAAAAATTTTCTTTAGCAATAGGAGTCTTGATTGTAACAATTATTGTAACTCCAATGGTAATGGGCTAGTAGTTGCTAGTGAATAATGTAACAATGTAAAGAGTGAAATTTGGGGAAAAAAAAATATTATGGGATAATGTTGAAATACACGATAGTACCATGACATATATTCAACAGACAGCTCACCCCATAAGTATTCAGAACATGAGCATATAAAGCATAGACTTGGCTTTCTCAAAAATGTGCGATTCAATCGCTCCAAGCAACACCATTTTGTTGAGGAGTATGAGGAACTGTAAGAGTATGCTTGATACCCTTAGACAAAAAGAACTGCCCCAGGTCTTTGGAAATGTATTCCGCCATTATCAGAATGAAAATAGCAACTCGATCACCAGCAGAATCACCAGAAAAATAAGATTCACACCTAGCAATAAAGTTACGAATGGCAAGACTTGCATCACTTTTCCTAACCAACAACTCCACATAAGAGTACCTGGAATAATAATCCATAATGGTTAAGACATAACGATGACCCACAGGGGTAGCGACATGAGGACCGCTTAAATCAGAAACAAATAACTCCAAAGGACGACTAGCTTTTTCTGTGGTACCATTAAATGGCAATGCTGTGGCTTTGCCACAACAAGCGTCACACTTATGACTATCCACAACCTCAAAATGAGTAGGCTTGACAGAAAGTGACTTAGATAATTTCTTGAGAACGTCCACACTGGCGTGACCAAGTCGCTTGTGCCAAAGATTGGCAAACGACTCAACAGCATGTTGGAATATATGTCATGGTACTATCGTGTATTTCAACATTATCCCATAATATTTTTTTTTCCCAATTACACTCTTTACATTGTTACATTATTCACTAGCAACTACTAGCCCATTACCATTGGAGTTACAATAATTGTTACAATTGTTGAACTGTGACACGGGAAGTCATGATAATAATAGAAAATATTATCCAAGAAAAGTATATATTGAAATATATAAGATAAAACAGTTATATAAGAAGAAAGAAAAAGGAAAAGAAAAATTATAAAAGTTGGGGAAGAAACCTTCCTTAAATATCCAAGGGAAAGAAAAATTTGCAGTGGTGAAAATTTTTCATTTGGGTTTGTCCCAAAGTTGAGTGGGTTTGTATTACACTTCAACTTTGTAACAAATTAAGGAGGGTAACCACAGTCACATAAGGGCTTAAACCTAATGCGGCTAAAACTAAAATAAACATAGATTGTCAACCATAGTTTCCCACCCAAACTCACGTGCATTATCAACTGCACTAGTCTGCGACAACATTGCATGCTCAACACCTCCCCTTGTCGCAGAATCACCTACTGCCTTCATACCAAGTAGTCCCCTTAATGTCTCAAACTTCACACGACCAGATTCTTAGTAAACATATCTGCCAACATCACTTGAGTATCAAGATACTCCCGATGAATCCCCTCCACTGCAATATAGTGACGGACAACATGATAACGAACATCAATATGCTTGGTGCGACGATGAAACACTGGGTTCTGAGCCAAAGCAATACATCCCTGATTGTCCTCAAACATAGTCACCCGGCAACGGAATAGGAATCTTGCAAAGGACAACAACTGGTCAATCCAGAAGCATTCCTTAGACGCATCAGACAATGACATGTACTCAGACTCGACGCTGGACGATGCAGGACTAACTTGCTTTCGGCAAGCCCAAGTAATGGGACCACCAGACAGAATAAAACATACCCAGTAAAGGACTTACGGTCCTGCTTGTCCTGTGCATAGTCAGCATCACTATAGCCAACAAGCTTGTAGACTTTCTGAGCTCGATATTCAAGACCAAGTTCAGCAGTACCCTTAAGATAACGAAAGTATGCTTAGCAGCTTCCATATGAATAGACTTAGGATTCTGCATATATCGACAAAGAAAGCTAACAACAGCAAAGATCAGGACGAGCACAATTAGAAAGCATAAATCAGCTTACCAATAATACTGCGATACATGGAGGCATCGGTAGCAGAGTCAGACTCGGAAAAATCAGAAGATCACGAGTGGGTAAAGGAGTCTTGACACTTGAACAATTCTGCACCAAACTCCTCCAACATGTCAAAATATAACGTGAAACATCCACAGTAATATGGTAGGTGACTGCTTAACTCTCATGCCAAGGAACTGCTCGACTGGGCCCAAGTCTTTCATCTTAAACATAGATGACAAAAAAGACTTGGTTTTGGCAATGACTTCAGAAGAATTGCCAGAAATAAGTAAATCATCAACATACAGTGCAATAATGACCATGGTAGACCCAGATCCTTTGGTATACACACCGTAGTCACTTTCATTACGAATAAACCCAAGTTTGACAAGAGCACCATGAATCTTCTCATTCCAACACAAAGGGGGCTTGCTTTAAACCATATAAAGACTTCTTCAAATGACACACTTTAGATTCCTGGCCTTTGACAACAAAGCCTTTAGGTTGTCTCATATAAATATCTTCTTTGAGATCACCATTAAGAAATGCAGTCTCGACATCCATATGATGAACCTGGAACCCAAACTGAGCAGCAATAGCAAGAACAATCCTCACAGTCTCGTAACGAACAACGGGAGCAAAAGTTTCAGTATAATCAATACCTTCAACTTGCGAAAATCCAATACACACGAGACGAGCTTTGTAACGTTCAATTGAACCGTCAGCTTTGCGCTTAACTTTAAACACCCATTTGCTATTGATAGCCTTGCGACCAGGTGGGAGATCAACCAATTCCCAAGTACCATTGCGTTTAAGAGACGACATTTCAATAACACAGGCTTCAAGCCAAAACTCAGCTTCTTCACTAGACATAGCTTCTTCAAAACTACTAGGATCTGTAAAAACTGTTGAACTGTGACACGGGAAGTCATGATAATAATAGAAAATATTATCCAAGAAAAGTATATATTGAAATATATAAGATAAAACAGTTATATAAGAAGAAAGAAAAAGGAAAAGAAAAATTATAAAAGTTGGGAAGAAACCTTCCTTAAATATCTGAGGGAAAGAAAATTTGCAGTGGTGAAAATTTTTCATTTAGGTTGTCCCAAAGTTGAGTGGGTTTGATTACACTTCAACTTTGTAACAAATTGGAGGGTAACCACAGTCACATAAGGGCTTAAACCTAATGCGGCTAAAACTAAAATAAACATAGATTGTCAACCATAGTTTCCCACCCAAACTCACGTGCATTATCAACTGCACTAGTCTGCGACAACATTGCATGCTCAACACCTCCCTTGTCGCAGAATCACCTACTGCCTTCATACCAAGTAGTCCCTCAATGTCTCAAACTTCACGACCAAGATTCTTAGTAAACATATCTGCCAACATCACTTGAGTATCAAGATACTCCAGATGAATCACTCCCTGCGAATATAGTGACGGACAACATGATACCGAACATCAATATGCTTGGTGCGACGATGAAACACTGGGTTCTGAGCCAAAGCAATACATCCCTGATTGTCCTCAAACATAGTCACTGGCAACGGAACAGGAATCTTGCAAAGAGACAACAACTGATTAATCCAGAAGCATTCCTTAGACGCATCAGACAATGACATATACTCAGACTCGACGCTGGACGATGCAGGACTAACTTGCTTTCGACAAGCCCAAGTAATGGGACCACCAGACAGAATAAAAACATACCCAGTAAAGGACTTACGGTCCTGCTTGTCCATGCATAATCGGCATCACTATAGCCAACAAGCTTGTAGACTTTCTGAGCTCGATATTCAAGACCAAGTTCAGCAGTACCCTTAAGATAACGAAGAGTATGCTTAGCAGCTTCCATATGAATAGACTTAGGACTCTGCATATATCGACAAAGAAAGCTAACAGCAACAGCAAGATCAGGACGAAGCACAATTAGCAGCATAAATCAGCTTACCAATAATACTCGATACATGGAGGCATCGGTAGCAGAGTCAGACTCGGAAAAATCAGAAAGATCACGAGTGGGTAAAGGAGTCTTGACACTTGAACAATTCTGCATACCAAACTCCTCCAACACGTCAAAATATAACGTGAAACATCCACAGTAATATGGTAAGGTGACTGCTTAACTCTCATGCCAGGAACTGCTCGACTGGAGCCCAAGTCTTTCATCTTAAACATAGATGACAAAGAAGACTTGGTTTTGGCAATGACTTCAGAAGAATTGCCAGAAATAAGTAAATCATCAACATACAGTGCAATAATGACCATGGTAGACCCAGATCCTTTGGTATACACCGTAGTCACTTTCATTACGAATAAACCCAAGTTTGACAAGAGCACCATGAATCTTCTCATTCCAACACAAAGGAGCTTGCTTTAAACCATATAAAGACTTCTTCAATGACACACTTTAGATTCCTGACCTTTGACAACAAAGCCTTTAGGTTGTCTCATATAAATATCTTCTTTGAGATCACCATTAGAAATGCAGTCTCGACATCCATATGATGAACCTGGAACCAAACTGAGCAGCAATAGCAGAACAATCCTCACAGTCTCGTAACGAACAACGGAGCAAAGTTTCAGTATAATCAATACCTTCAACTTGGAAAATCCAATACACACGAGACGAGCTTTGTAACGTTCAATTGAACCGTCAGCTTTGGCTTAACTTTAAATACCCATTTGCTATTGATAGCCTTGCGACCAGGTGGGAGATCAACATCCCAAGTACCATTGCGTTTAGAGACGACATTTCAATAACACAGGCTTCAAGCCAAAACTCAGCTTCTTCACTAGACATAGCTTCTTCAAAACTACTAGGATCTGTAAAACAAGTAAACCACATCATCATACTCAAAGCGGAGATTTGAACGACGATAAGAAATACACTCTTCCATGGACTTTTTGCGGTGTTGCAGAACGGAGATTGTTTAAAAAGAATTTTCAAAAGGTTTTTAAAAGGGGGTGAAACAATGTCATCGAACTCGGGCTTTTAGGAGTTATAGGGGGTAAAGAACAGCAACAACACGGATCGAGATTTGGCAAAACGCAATATCACCCTTAGTGACAACACTAACCCAGCGGTCAAGAGAATTAACAAGATCGGCAAAGGATTCTTATTTTAAATTGGCACCTTAATTCAACAAAAGGTGGGGGAGTGGGAGACGAACAATGATAGACGGTTAAAACCCAATACCCCCCCCTCGTTGCGAGACCCCAGAATCACCTGAAATTTTAAAGATTCATTAATGATGGACCAGTTTAATAAGTCAATTTAAAGGAATATTTTCCCGAAGAAGAAACAATAGGACTTGAGTCGGAAGATAGAACTTCATGATCTGAAGGTGGAAGAATGGGAGAACTAGGAAGAGATGGAACAAAAGGAATAGGGGGAAGAGGGGAAAGGGTAGGAGACTAAAGGGGGCAAAAGGTGTGAAAAAAATGCGACAACAGAACGGCATAAACGATAATGAAGAAGAAAAAAGAAAGGACGGGGGAAGGACGGAGAAAAAAAGGGGAGACGGGACGTAAAACACAAATGAACCAAAACCCAAAAAGAACCAGAAAGATGGGGATGCTGGTGGGTCTATGGAAAAACTAGACCAGAACTTGAATCAGAACGCAATAAAATTTAAACCTAACATTAGATCTAAACCAGTTTGAATCAAAAAAAAGGTCTGACATGGCCCCTAAACCCAAAACCCAAACCCACAAACCCCAACACCAGTAGTTTAGAAAAGTCTTATTTTTTTCATAAAGGGAAAACTTGGACTCATCAAAGTAAACCTCCTGGTTTAAAAATGTTGAATAAAGAAAAACTCGAAAAGCTGTACGATCAAGAATCCCAAAAAAAAACCCAGCTTCGTTTTGAACTTCTTAGATTCTTTTTTTAGCACCAGGAAGCAACTGTGCTTGAAAACAAATTTTTCTTATTTTAACTAGGAGGTTTCCCAGCCCAAAGTTAAAGGGTCAACACCACCAGTGGTACGACTAGGAAGACGGTTCCTAATAAATTAGCAGACGCGCTTCACCCCATAATATTCGGGGCATGAGCATATAAAAGCATAGACTTGGCTTTCTCAAAAAATTGCGATTCAATCGCTCACAACACCATTTGTTAAAATATGAGGAACTGTATAAGTATCTTGATACCCTTAGACACAAAGAACTCCCCAGGTCTTTGGAAATGTACCCCCCATTATCAGAATGAAAATTATCGATCACCACAGAATCACCAGAAAAAAAAGATTCACACCTGCAATAAAGTTACAATGCAAGACCCTCCTTTCCCAACCCAAAAACTCCACATAAGGTACCTGGAATAATAATCCCTAATGGTTAAGACATAACATAACAGGGGTGCGCATGGGACCCTTAAATCGAAAAAAATAACTCCAAGGACACTAGCTTTTTTCCCTGGTACCATTAAAAGAAGCGTGGCTTTGCCACCCCAAAAAACGTCACCTTATGACTATCCCAACCCCAAAATGAGTAGGCTTGACAGAAAATGACTTAGATAATTTCTTGGGAAAGTCCACACTGGCGTGACCAAAATCGCTTTTCCAAAAATTTGGGAGACGACTCAACAAAAAAACACCTCATGGACGGGGTTGGAAGGCAAAACAACTCGGAAACGACAAAGTACAAGTCACCCTGGCATGGGGACTCGAGTTTGCCATTTTTTGACAGCAGAAATATGGTTAAGGTCTTGGGGGGCCGACAAAACCCCAGCGGGACTCGACGGCAGCAAATAAAAATTCAGGAATCAGGAACATATAAAACATCTCGAAGAACAACCGGTCCCCCAAGGCTGGTCATCTTTCCAAAAAGATCAACGACAATGTCGCCAACCCCTCAGCAGTAGGAAACCCAAAAACGAAAGGTAGCCGAAGTGGGACGAAGAGAAAAATATGAGATGTTATTCAAATGTGACTGGTAGCCGGGATCATGGATAAAGTCAAAGAATCAGACCCAACAACGTTGGCCCAGCAAAATAGTAGATTCACAACAAAAACGTGATGGACTGTGCTTAAATTCAAGATTGAAGAAAAGGGTGCCAGACGACAATTAAAATCCAAGGAAAACAACATGATGGTAACAAAGATAATAAAATAATGGAAAAACGGGTTTGGTGTAACAATGGTTTAACAATGGCGGAAAGGTTCGTAATTGAATCCACCAAAAAACAAAGAAGGTAGGGAATATCATCATCAGAACCGACCAACGGGTTTTGAATCAGAACAAAAAAAAAGAAGAACCACCAACGGTTCAGAATCAAAAAGGGAAAAATATCCGAAACGACCAACGATTCAGAATCAAAAAAAATAGGAGCTGAACTGAAAACGGTTCGACTCCAAACAAACAACATAGAACCGACATACGGTTCAGAAATAAACAAAAATCATCATGGAACCAACAAACGGTTCCCAAATGAATCAATATAAAAACTAGTTTAAACAAACTCAAACTTGACCAACAAAAAATCTTCATCGCCGACACACGGCTCAGAAGAATCAAAAAGTTCGGATTCCAAATCATCAAACGACTCGGAGCAACTGTTACCAAACTTTTCAGAAACAATAGATGTCTCGGACACAAAAGCGGAACTCACAAATGGATCATCATCAACTATCTCAGAAAATTCATCAATAGTCTCAGCAAACTGTTGAGCATGCAATGTTGTCGCAGACTAGTGCAGTTGATAATGCACGTGAGTTTGGGTGGGAAACTATGGTTGACAATCTATGTTTATTTTAGTTTTAGCCGCATTAGGTTTAAGCCCTTATATGACTGTGGTTACCCTCCTTAATTTGTTACAAAGTTGAAGTGTAATACAAACCCACTAACTTTGGGATTAACCCAAATAAAAAATTTTCACCATGAAAATTTTTTTCTTTCCTTGGGTATATAGAAGGTTTCTTCCCAACTTTTATAATTTTTCTTTTCCTTTTCTTTCTTCTTATATAACTGTTTTATCTTATATATTTCAATATATACTTTTCTTGGATAATATTTTCTATTATTATCATGACTTCCCTGTACAGTTCAACAGGTTATGGGCCGCACTTCGGCTTATATTAATCTTACTTCCTCTGAAAAACTCACCCTCTAAACCCTATCATGTCTGGCTACCAAAATTTTTGGGTCTTCGGCATGAATAATGGTGTCCACTTTATGTCGAAGCTGGTACTGTCAATCCAGCTGCCAATGAACCCCTTTGAAGACCTCACCGCCTCGCTTGATACCGTCGTCCATGATGTCATCCTCAACAATATTTCTCCTGAGTTGATCGAACATGTTAATGATGTGGCCATTAGAGGCCGGACCTCTGGCTTTTATCTTCATCAGGAGTATAGTCAACTCCAACCCGCCGATGTCATCTCACTTATGAAATCCCTCTATGCTGGCAATATTGATGTTGGTCCAAAGTTTGTTTCTTCTGTTCGTTCATATGTTGCTACCTGGCGTTCCATCTACCAATCATTGTCGCCTGATTCGGTCGTGGCCTTCAACGCTTTGGCTTCAATGGTCCCACTGTGAGCGCTTCATCCAGTATCCCTTTGGGAGCACCGCTTTGATAGTAACAACAATACTGACAACCTTGATATTAACAACTTCATCCGGAACACTGATAAATGGGCCAAGTTGTTGAAGATTACTGGACCCTGCTACTTTCGACTGAAGGTTCGTTGCTTCATCAAAGAAGCAATAACAAATCTAAGGGTGATGGTATTAAATGTTTCCTTTTAAGAGGCGTGGTCATACTTCCAACAATTGTCATGTCTCTTGGGAAGAGGTTCAGGCTGCTCGCCAAGATAATAAGGATGACAAGGAATCTATGAGGCTAAACCTCAAGAGGTTGGTTTGTTGAGACATTGATGAATTTTCTGAGATAGTTGATGATGATCCATTTGTGAGTTCCGCTTTTGTGTCCGAGACATCTATTGTTTCTGAAAAGTTTGGTAACAGCTGTCTGAGTCGTTTGATGATTTGAATCCGAACTTTTTTATTCTTCTGAGCCGTGTCGGCGATGAAGATTGTTTTGTCGTCAAGTTTCTGAGCATTGTTCAAACTCAGGACTTGATATTGATTCAGTTGGTAAACCGTTTGTTGGTTCCACTGATGATTCTTTGTTTTATTTCGAACCGTATGTCGGTTCTAATTGTTGTTTGTTTGGAGTCTGAACCGTGTGTCAGTTCAGCTCCTATTTGTTTTGATTCTGAATCGTTGGTCGATTCGGATATTGTTCCTTTTGATTCTGAACCGTTGGTCGGTTCTTCTTTATTTTTGTTCTGATTCTAAACCGTTGGTCGGTTCTGATGATGATATTGTCTTACCTTCTTTGATTTTGGTGGATTCAATTACTGAACCTTCTCCGCCTATTGTTAAACCTATTGTTACACCAAAATCCTGCTTTTCTCCATTATTTTACTTATCTTTTGTTACCATCATGTTGTTTTCCCTTGATTTTAATTGTCGTCTGGCATCCTTCTTCAATCTTGAATTTAAGTCATTCAGTCCATCACGTTTTGTTGCTGAATCTACTACTTCTGCTGAGGCCAACTTAGTTGTTGGGTCTGATTCTTTGACTTTATCCATGATACCGGTGCTACCAGTCACATTTGCAATAACATCTCATATTTTTCTTTCTTCGTCCCACTTCGGCTACCATTCGTGGTCTTGGTTCTGCTACTGCTGAGGGGTTGGCGACATTGTCGTTGATCTTCTTGGTAAAGATGACCAGCCTTGTGACCGCGTTGTTCTTCGAGATGTTTTATATGTTCCTAAGATTCCTCGCATTATTTGCTGCTCGTCGAGCTACTGCTGGTGGTTGTCGGTTCATTCAAGACCTTAACCATATTTCTGCTGTCGAAAATGGCAAAACTCGAGTCCACGCCATTGCCATGGGTGACTTGTACTTTGTCGTTTCCGAGTTGTTTTGCCTTCCAAGCCTGTCCATGAGGTGTTTGCTGTTGAGTCGTCTGCCAATCTTTATAAGCGACTTGGTCACGCCAGTGTGGACGTTCTCAGAAATTATCTAAGTCACTTTCTGTCAAGCCTACTCATTTTGAGGTTGTGGATAGTCATAAGTGTGACGCTTGCTTGGGTGGCAAAGCCACAGCATTGCCATTTAATGGTATCACAGAAAAGCTAGTCGTCCTTTGGAGTTATTTGTTTCTGATTTAAGCGGTCCTCATGTCGCTACCCCTGTGGGTCATCGTTATGTCTTAACCATTATGGATTATTATTCCAGGTACTCTTATGTGGAGTTGTTGGTTAGGAAAAGTGATGCAAGTCTTGCCATTCGTAACTTTATTGCTAGGTGTGAATCTTATTTTTCTGGTGATTCTGCTGGTGATCGAGTTGCATATTTTCATTCTGATAATGGCGGCGAATACATTTCCAAAGACCTGGAGCAGTTCTTTGTGTCTAAGGGTATCAAGCATACTTATACAGTTCCTCATACTCCTCAGCAAAATGGTGTTGCTGAGCGATTGAATCGCACATTATTTGAAAAGCCAAGTCTATGCTTTTATATGCTCATGCTCCTGAGTATTTATGGGGTGAAGCTGTCAAGTCTGCTAATTATATTAGGAACCGTCTTCCTAGTCGTACCACTGGTGGTGTTGCACCTCTTCAACTTTGGACTGGTAAACCTCCTAGTTATCACCATATGAAAGTATTTGGTTGTCAAGCTACAGTTGTTCTTCCTGGTGCTAAAAGAGAATCTAAGTTAAGTTCAAATACTGAAGCTGGTGTTTTGTTGGGTATTCTTTGGATCGTACAGCTTATCGAGTTCTTCTTGATTCAAGCATTGTTGAAGCCAGGAGTGTTTACTTTGATGAGTCCAAGTTTCCATTTATGAAAAGTGATAAGGACTTGTCTATTAATGGTACTGGTGTTGGGTTTAGTGTTGGTTCTGGTTCAGGGTCCATGTCAGGGCCTTGTTTTGATTCTAAGGGTCTGGTTTTAGGATCTAATGTTAGGTTAATTCTATTGCTAGTTCTGATTCAAGTTCTGGTTCTAGTTTGGGTCTCATAGATCTTTACCAGCATCCTCATCTGGTTCTGGTTCTGGTTCTGGTTCTGGTTCTATTTGTGCTTTACCGTCTCCGTCTCTGTCTTCTTCTCCGTCTCATTCTCCGTCGCCGCCTCCTTCTTCTTCTTCTCTATTATTGTTCATAAGCCTCGTTCTGTTCGTCGCATTTTGTCTACACCTTCTGCTCCTCTTGGAGTCTCCTACTCTTCCTACTCTTCCTTCTATTTCTTCAGTTCCATCTCTTCCTAGTTCTCCTATTCTTCCACCTTCAGATCATGATGTCTCTATATCTTCTGACTCTAGTCCTATTGTTTCTTCTTCGGAATATATTCCTTCACAATTAGACTTATCTGAAGCTGGTCCATCTATTAATGAATCTGATATTTCTGGTGATTCTGGGATCTCGCAACGAGGGGTGATATTGGGTTTCAACCGTCTATCATTGCTTCGTCTCCCATTCCACCACCTTCTGTTGAATTGGAAGTAGTGCCACTTAGTCAAGAATCTCCTTCGTCTGATCTTGTTAATTCTCTTGACCAAGCTGGTGTTAGTGGTCACTAAGGATGATACTCAAGCTGTTTTGCCTAAATCTCGATCTCGTGTTGTTGCTGTTCGTTTACCTTCTATAACTCCTGCCAAACGCCGAGTTCTGATGACATTGTTTCACCTCCTTCTAAACATCTTTGTGAAAATTCTTTGAAACAATCTCCAGTGTCTGCAACACCTGCAAAACGTCCAGCTGAAGAAGAGTGTATTTCTATCGTCGTCTCAAATCTCTCCGCTTTGAGTATGATGATGTGGCTTTACTTGTTTTACAGATCCTAGTAGTTTTGAAGAAGCTATGTCCCAGTGAAGAAGCTGAGTTTTGGCTTGAAGCCCGTGTTATTGAAATGTCGTCTCTTAAACGCAATGGTACTTGGGAATTGGTTGATCTCCACCTGGTCGCAAGGCTATCAATAGCAAATGGGTGTTTAAAGTTAAGCGCAAAGCTGACGGTTCAATTGAACGTTACAAAGCTCGTCTCGTGTGTATTGGATTTTCGCAAGTTGAAGGTATTGATTATACTGAAACTTTTGCTCCCGTTGTTCGTTACGAGACTGTAAGGATTGTTCTTGCTATTGCTGCTCAGTTTGGGTTCCAGGTTCATCATATGGATGTCGAGACTGCATTTCTTAATGGTGATCTCAAAGAAGATATTTATATGAGACAACCTAAAAGCTTTGTTGTCAAAGGCCAGGAATCTAAAGTGTGTCATTTGAAGAAGTCTTTATATGGTTTAAAGCAAGCTCCTTTGTGTTGGAATGAGAAGATTCATGGTGCTCTTGTCAAACTTGGGTTTATTCGTAATGAAAGTGACTACGGTGTTTATACTAAAGGATCTGGGTCTACCATGGTCATTATTGCACTGTATGTTGATGATTTACTTATTTCTGGCAATTCTCCTGAAGTCATTGCCAAAACCAAGTCTTCTTTGTCATCTATGTTTAAGATGAAAGACTTGGGCCCAGTCGAGCAGTTCCTTGGCATGAGAGTTAAGCAGTCACCTTACCATATTACTGTGGATGTTTCACGTTATATATTTGACATGTTGGAGGAGTTTGGTATGCAGAATTGTTCAAGTGTCAAGACTCCTTTACCCACTCGTGATCTTTCTGATTTTTCCGAGTCTGACTCTGCTACCGATGCCTCCATGTATCGCAGATTATTGGTGCTTTATTTATGCTGCTAATTGTGCTCGTCCTGATCTTGCTTGTTGCTGTTAGCTTCTTTGTCGATATATGCAGAATCCTAAGTCTATTCATATGGAAGCTGCTAAGCATACTCTTCGTTATCTTAAGGGTACTGCTGAACTTGGTCTTGAATATCGAGCTCAGAAAGTCTACAAGCTTGTTGGCTATAGTGATGCCGATTATGCACAGGACAAGCAGGACCGTAAGTCCTTTACTGGGTATGTTTTTATTCTGTCTGGTGGTCCCATTACTTGGGCTTGCCGAAAGCAAGTTAGTCCTGCATCGTCCAGCGTCGAGTCTGAGTACATGTCATTGTCTGATGCGTCTAAGGAATGCTTCTGGGTTAATCAGTTGTTGTCCCTTTGCAAGATTCCTGTTCCGTTGCCAGTGACTATGTTTGAGGACAATCAGGGATGTATGCATTGGCTCAGAACCCAGTGTTTCATCGTCGCACCAAGCATATTGATGTTCGTTATCATGTTGTGCGTCACTATATTCGCAGTGGAGTAATTCATCTGGAGTATCTTGATACTCAAGTGATGTGGCAGATATGTTCACTAAGAATCTTGGTCGTGAAGTTTGAGACATTGAGGGGACTACTTGGATGAAGGCAGTAGGTGATTCTGGACAAGGGAGAGTGTTGAGCAGCAATGTTGTCGCAGATAGTGCAGTTGATAATCGCACGGAGTTTGGTGGAAACTATGTTGATATCTATGTTTATTTAGTTTACGATTAGGTTTAAGCCTTATATGACTGTGGTTACCCTCCTTAATTTTACAAAGTTGAAGTGTAATAAACCCACTCAACTTTGGGACAAACTAAATGAAAATTTCACCACTGCAAATTTTCTTTCCCTTGGTATAAAGAAGGTCTTCCCCAACTTTTATAATTTTTTTTTCCTTTTTCTTTCTTCTTATATAACTGTTTTATCTTATATATTTCAATATATACTTTTCTTGGATAATATTTTCTATTATTATCATGACTTCCCGTGTCACAGTTCAACACAAACCAACCTCTTGAGGTTTTAGCCTCCTTAGATTCCTTGTCATCCTTATTATCTTGGCGAGCAGCCTGAACCTCTTCCCAAGAGACATGACAATTGTTGGAAGTATGACCACGCCTCTTACAACGGAAACATTTGATACCATCACCCTTAGATTTGTTATTGTACTTCTTTGATGAAGCAACGAACGCTTCAGTCGAAAGAGTAGCAGGGGGTCCAGTAATCTTCAACAACTTGGCCCATTTATCAGTGTTCCGGATGAAGTTGTTAATATCAAGGTTGTCAGTATTGTTGTTACTATCAAAGCGGTGCTCCAAGGCATACTGGATGAAGCGCTCACAATTGGGACCCATTGAAGCCAAAGCGTTGAAGGCCACGACCGAATCAGGCGACAATGATTGGTAGATGGAACGCCAGGTAGCAACATATGAACGAACAGAAGAAACAAACTTTGGACCAACATCAATATTGCCAGCATAGAGGGATTTCATAAGTGAGATGACATCGGCGGGTTGGAGTTGACTATACTCCTGATGAAGGTAAAGCCAGAGGTCACGGCCTCTAATGGCCACATCATTAACATGTTCGATCAACTCAGGAGAAATATTGTTGAGGATGACATCATGGACGACGGTATCAAGCGAGGCGGTGAGGTCTTCAAGGGATTCATTGGCAGCTGGATTGACAGTACCAGCTTCGACATAAAGGTGGACACCATTATTCATAGCACGAAGACCCAAAAGAATTTTGGTAGCCCAGACATGATAGTTGAGAGGAGTGAGTTTTTCAGAGGAAGTAAGATTAATATAAGCCGAAGTGCGGCCCATAACCTGTTGAACTGTGACACGGGAAGTCATGATAATAATAGAAAATATTATCCAAGAAAAGTATATATTGAAATATATAAGATAAAACAGTTATATAAGAAGAAAGAAAAAGGAAAAGAAAAAATTATAAAAGTTGGGGAAGAAACCTTCCTTAAATATCTGAGGGAAAGAAAAATTTGCAGTGGTGAAAATTTTTCATTTGGGTTTGTCCCAAAGTTGAGTGGGTTTGTATTACACTTCAACTTTGTAACAAATTAAGGAGGGTAACCACAGTCACATAAGGGCTTAAACCTAATGCGGCTAAAACTAAAATAAACATAGATTGTCAACCATAGTTTCCCACCCAAACTCACGTGCATTATCAACTGCACTAGTCTGCGACAACATTGCATGCTCAACAAAAACAAGTAAAGCCACATCATCATACTCAAAGCGGAGAGATTTGAGACGACGATAAGAAATACACTCTTCTTCAGCTGGACGTTTTGCAGGTGTTGCAGACACTGGAGATTGTTTCAAAGAATTTTCACAAAGGTGTTTAGAAGGAGGTGAAACAATGTCATCAGAACTCGGGCGTTTGGCAGGAGTTATAGAAGGTAAACGAACAGCAACAACACGAGATCGAGATTTAGGCAAAACAGCTTGAGTATCATCCTTAGTGACAACACTAACACCAGCTTGGTCAAGAGAATTAACAAGATCAGACGAAGGAGATTCTTGACTAAGTGGCACTACTTCCAATTCAACAGAAGGTGGTGGAGTGGGAGACGAAGCAATGATAGACGGTTGAAACCCAATATCACCCCCTCGTTGCGAGATCCCAGAATCACCTGAAATATCAGATTCATTAATAGATGGACCAGTTTCAGATAAGTCTAATTGTGAAGGAATATATTCCGAAGAAGAAATAATAGGACTAGAGTCAGGAGAGATAGAGACATCATGATCTGAAGGTGGAAGAATAGGAGAACTAGGAAGAGATGGAACAGAAGCAATAGAAGGAAGAGTAGGAGACTCAAGAGGAGCAGAAGGTGTAGACAAAATGCGACGAACAGAACGAGGCTTATGAACAATAATAGAAGAAGAAGAAGAAGAAGGAGGCGGCGACGGAGAATGAGACGGAGAAGAAGACGGAGACGGAGACGGTAAAGCACAAATAGAACCAGAACCAGAACCAGATGAGGATGCTGGTAAAGATCTATGAGACCCAAAACTAGAACCAGAACTTAAATCAGAACTAGCAATAGAATTAACCCTAACATTAGATCCTAAACCAGTCCCCTTAGAATCAAAACAAGGTCCTGACATGGACCCTGAACCAGAACCAACACTAAACCCAACACCAGTAGCATTAATAGACAAGTCCTTATCACTTTTCATAAATGGAAACTTGGACTCATCAAAGTAAACACTCCTGGCTTCAACAATGCTTGAATCAAGAAGAACTCGATAAGCTGTACGATCCAAAGAATACCCAACAAAACACCAGCTTCAGTATTTGAACTTAACTTAGATTCTCTTTTTTAGCACCAGGAAGAACAACTGTAGCTTGACAACCAAATACTTTCATATGATGATAACTAGGAGGTTTACCAGTCCAAAGTTGAAGAGGTGCAACACCACCAGTGGTACGACTAGGAAGACGGTTCCTAATATAATTAGCAGACTTGACAGCTTCACCCCATAAATACTCAGGAGCATGAGCATATAAAAGCATAGACTTGGCTTTCTCAAATAATGTGCGATTCAATCGCTCAGCAACACCATTTTGTTGAGGAGTATGAGGAACTGTATAAGTATGCTTGATACCCTTAGACACAAAGAACTGCTCCAGGTCTTTGGAAATGTATTCGCCGCCATTATCAGAATGAAAATATGCAACTCGATCACCAGCAGAATCACCAGAAAAATAAGATTCACACCTAGCAATAAAGTTACGAATGGCAAGACTTGCATCACTTTTCCTAACCAACAACTCCACATAAGAGTACCTGGAATAATAATCCATAATAGTTAAGACATAACGATGACCCACAGGGGTAGCGACATGAGGACCGCTCAAATCAGAAACAAATAATTCCAATGGGCGACTAGCTTTTTCAGTGGTACCATTAAATGGCAATGCTGTGGCTTTGCCACCCAAGCAAGCGTCACACTTATGACTATCCACAACCTCAAAATGAGTAGGCTTGACAGAAAGTGACTTAGATAATTTCTTGAGAACGTCCACACTGGCGTGACCAAGTCGCTTGTGCCAAAGATTGGCAGACGACTCAACAGCAAACACCTCATGGACTGGCTTGGAAGGCAAAACAACTCGGAAACGACAAAAGTACAAGTCACCCATGGCAATGGCGTGGACTCGAGTTTTGCCATTTTCAACAGCAGAAATATGGTTAAGGTCTTGAATGAACCTACAACCACCAGCAGTAGCTCGACGAGCAGCAAATAAATTGCGAGGAATCTTAGGAACATATAAAACATCTCGAAGAACAACGCGGTCACAAGGCTGGTCATCTTTACCAAGAAGATCAACGACAATGTCGCCAACCCCCTCAGCAGTAGCAGAACCAAGACCACGAATGGTAGCCGAAGTGGGACGAAGAGAAGAAAAATATGAGATGTTATTGCAAATGTGACTGGTAGCACCAGTATCATGGATAAAGTCAAAAGAATCAGACCCAACAACTAAGTTGGCCTCAGCAGAAGTAGTAGATTCAGCAACAAAAACATGATGGACTGAATGACTTAAATCCAAGATTGAAGAAGGATGCCAGACGACAATTAAGATCAAGGAAAACAACATGATGGTAACAAAAGATAAGTAAAAGAATGGAGAAAAACGGGATTTTGGTGTAACAATAGGTTTAACAATAGGCGGAGAAGGTTCAGTAATTGAATCCACCAAAAAATCAAAAGAAGGTAAGACAATATCATCATCAGAACCGACCAACGGTTTAGAATCAGAACAAGAAATAAAAGAAGAACCGACCAACGGTTCAGAATCAAAAGAAACAACATCCGAATCGACCAACGATTCAGAATCAAAACAAATAGGAGCTGAACTGACACACGGTTCAGACTCCAAACAAACAACAGTAGAACCGACATACGGTTCAGAATTAAAACAAGAATCATCAGTGGAACCAACTGAATCAATATCAAGTCCTGAGTTTGAACAATACTCAGAAACTTGACCAACAAAACAATCTTCATCGCCGACACACGGCTCAGAAGAATCAAAAAGTTCGGATTCCAAATCATCAAACGACTCGGAGCAACTGTTACCAAACTTTTCAGAAACAACAGATGTCTCGGACACAAAAGCGGAACTCACAAATGGATCATCATCAACTATCTCAGAAAATTCATCAATAGTCTCAGCAAACCAACCTCTTGAGGTTTTAGCCTCTTTAGATTCCTTGTCATCCTTATTATCTTGGCGAGCAGCCTGAACCTCTTCCCAAGAGACATGACAATTGTTGGAAGTATGACCACGCCTCTTACAACGAAAACATTTGATACCATCACCCTTAGATTTGTTATTGTACTTCTTTGATGAAGCAACGAACGCTTCAGTCGAAAGAGTAGCAGGGGTCCAGTAATCTTCAACAACTTGGCCCATTTATCAGTGTTCCGGATAAAGTTATTGATATCAAGGTTGTCAGTATTGTTGTTACTATCAAAGCGGTGCTCCAAGGCATACTGGATGAAGCGCTCACAGTTGGGACCCATTGAGGCCAAAGCGTTGAAGGCCACAACCGAATCAGGCGACAATGATTGGTAGATGGAACGCCACGTAGCAACATAAGAGCGAACAGAAGAAACAAACTTTGGACCAACATCAATATTGCCAGCATAGAGGGATTTCATAAGAGAGATGACATCGGCGGGTTGAAGTTGACTATACTCCTGATGAAGATAAAGCCAGAGGTCACGGCCTCTAATGGCCACATCATTAACATGTTCGATCAACTCAGGAGAAATGTTGTTGAGGATGACATCATGGACGACGGTATCAAGCGAGGCGGTGAGGTCTTCGAGGGATTCATTAGCAGCTGGATTGACAGTACCAGCTTCGACATAAAGGTGGACACCATTATTCATAGCACGAAGACCCAAAAGGATCTTAGTAGCCCAGACATGATAGTTGAGAGGAGTGAGTTTTTCAGAGGAAGTAAGATTAATATAAGCCGAAGTGCGGCCCATAACCTGTTGAACTGTGACACGGGAAGTCATGATAATAATAGAAAATATTATCCAAGAAAAGTATATATTGAAATATATAAGATAAAACAGTTATATAAGAAGAAAGAAAAAGGAAAAGAAAAATTATAAAAGTTTGGGAAGAAACCTTCCTTAAATATCCAAGGGAAAGAAAAATTTGCAGTGGTGAAAATTTTTCATTTGGGTTTGTCCCAAAGTTGAGTGGGTTTGTATTACACTTCAACTTTGTAACAAATTAAGGAGGGTAACCACAGTCACATAAGGGCTTAAACCTAATGCGGCTAAAACTAAAATAAACATAGGTTATCAACCATAGTTTCCCACCCAAACTCACGTGCATTATCAACTGCACTAGTCTGCGACAACATTGCATGCTCAACACCTCCCCTTGTCGCAGAATCACCTACTGCCTTCATACCAAGTAGTCCCCTTAATGTCTCAAACTTCACACGACCAAGATTCTTAGTGAACATATCTGCCAACATCACTTGAGTATCAAGATACTCCAGATGAATCACTCCACTGCGAATATAGTGACGGACAACATGATAACGAACATCAATATGCTTGGTGCGACGATGAAACACTGGGTTCTGAGCCAAAGCAATACATCCCTGATTGTCCTCAAACATAGTCACTGGCAAAGGAATAGGAATCTTGCAAAGAGACAACAACTGATTAATCCAGAAGCATTCCTTAGACGCATCAGACAATGACATGTACTCAGACTCGACGCTGGACGATGCAGGACTAACTTGCTTTCGACAAGCCCAAGTAATGGGACCACCAGACAGAATGAAAACATACCCAGTAAAGGACTTACGGTCCTGTTTGTCCTGTGCATAGTCGGCATCACTATAACCAACAAGCTTGTAGACTTTCTGAGCTCGATATTCAAGACCAAGTTCAGCAGTACCCTTGAAGATAACGAAGAGTATGCTTAGCAGCTTCCATATGAATAGACTTAGGACTCTGCATATATCGACAAAGAAAGCTAACAGCAACAGCAAGATCAGGACGAGCACAATTAGCAGCATAAATCAGCTTACCAATAATACTGCGATACATGGAGGCATCGGTAGCAGAGTCAGACTCGGAAAAATCAGAAAGATCACGAGTGGGTAAAGGAGTCTTGACACTTGAACAATTCTGCATACCAAACTCTTCCAACATATCAAAAATATAACGCGAAACATCCACAGTAATATGGTAAGGTGACTGCTTAACTCTCATGCCAAGGAACTGCTCGACTGGACCCAAGTCTTTCATCTTGAACATAGATGACAAAGACGACTTGGTTTTGGCAATGACTTCAGAAGAATTGCCAGAAATAAGTAAATCATCAACATACAGTGCAATAATAACCATGGTAGACCCAGATCCTTTGGTATACACACCGTAGTCACTTTCATTACGAATAAACCCAAGTTTGACAAGAGCACCATGAATCTTCTCATTCCAACACAAAGGAGCTTGCTTTAAACCATACAAAGACTTCTTCAAATGACACACTTTAGATTCCTGACCTTTGACAACAAAGCCTTTAGGTTGTCTCATATAAATATCTTCTTTGAGATCACCATTAAGAAATGCAGTCTCGACATCCATATGATGAACCTGGAACCCAAACTGAGCAGCAATAGCAAGAACAATCCTCACAGTCTCGTAACGAACAACAGGGAGCAAAAGTTTCAGTATAATCAATACCTTCAACTTGCGAAAATCCAATACACACGAGACGAGCTTTGTAACGTTCAATTGAACCGTCAGCTTTGCGCTTAACTTTAAATACCCATTTGCTATTGATAGCCTTGCGACCAGGTGGGAGATCAACCAATTCCCAAGTACCATTGCGTTTAAGAGACGACATTTCAATAACACAGGCTTCAAGCCAAAACTCAGCTTCTTCACTAGACATAGCTTCTTCAAAACTACTAGGATCTGTAAAACAAGTAAAGCCACATCATCATACTCAAAGCGGAGAGATTTGAGACGACGATAAGAAATACACTCTTCTTCAGCTGGACGTTTTGCAGGTGTTGCAGACACTGGAGATTGTTTCAAAGAATTTTCACAAAGATGTTTAGAAGGAGGTGAAACAATATCATCAGAACTCGGGCGTTTGGCAGGAGTTATAGAAGGTAAACGAACAGCAACAACACGAGATCGAGATTTAGGCAAAACAGCTTGAGTATCATCCTTAGTGACAACACTAACACCAGCTTGGTCAAGAGAATTAACAAGATCAGACGAAGGAGATTCTTGACTAAGTGGCACTACTTCCAATTCAACAGAAGGTGGTGGAATGGGAGACGAAGCAATGATAGACGGTTGAAACCCAATATCACCCCCTCGTTGCGAGATCCCAGAATCACCAGAAATATCAGATTCATTAATAGATGGACCAGCTTCAGATAAGTCTAATTGTGAAGGAATATATTCCGAAGGAGAAACAATAGGACTTGAGTCAGGAGAGATAGAGACATCATGATCTGAAGGTGGAAGAATAGGAGAACTAGGAAGAGATGGAACTGAAGCAATAGAAGGAAGAGTAGGAAGAGTAGGAGACTCAAGAGGAGCAGAAGGTGTAGACAAAATGCGACGAACAGAACGAGGCTTATGAACAATAATAGAAGAAGAAGAAGAAGGAGGCGGCGACGGAGAATGAGACGGAGAAGAAGACGGAGACGGAGACGGAGACAAATAGAACCAGAACCAAACAGAACCAGAACCAGAACCAGATGAGGATGCTGGTAAAGATCTATGAGACCCAAAACTAGAACCAGAACTTAAATCAGAACTAGCAATAGAATTAACCCTAACATTAGATCCTAAACCAGTCCCCTTAGAATCAAAACAAGGTCCTGACATGGACCCTGAACCAGAACCAATACTAAACCCAACACCAGTACCATTAATAGACAAGTCCTTATCACTTTTCATAAATGGAAACTTGGACTCATCAAAGTAAACACTCCTGGCTTCAACAATGCTTGAATCAAGAAGAACTCGATAAGCTGTACGATCCAAAGAATACCCAACAAAAACACCAGCTTCAGTATTTGAACTTAACTTAGATTCTCTTTTAGCACCAGGAAGAACAACTGTAGCTTGACAACCAAATACTTTCATATGGTGATAACTAGGAGGTTTACCAGTCCAAAGTTGAAGAGGTGCAACACCACCAGTGGTACGACTAGGAAGACGGTTCCTAATATAGTTAGCAGACTTGACAGCTTCACCCCATAAGTATTCAGGAGCATGAGCATATAAAAGCATAGACTTGGCTTTCTCAAATAATGTGCGATTCAATCGCTCAGCAACACCATTTTGTTGAGGAGTATGAGGAACTGTATAAGTATGCTTGATACCCTTAGTCACAAAGAACTGCTCCAGGTCTTTGGAAATGTATTCGCCGCCATTATCAGAATGAAAATATGCAACTCGATCACCAGCAGAATCACCAGAAAAATAAGATTCACACCTAGCAATAAAGTTACGAATGGCAAGACTTGCATCACTTTTCCTAACCAACAACTCCACATAAGAGTACCTGGAATAATAATCCATAATGGTTAAGACATAACGATGACCCACAGGGGGTAGCGACATGAGGACCGCTTAAATCAGAAACAAATAATTTCCCAAAAGGGCGACTAGCTTTTTCTGTGGTACCATTAAATGGAATGCTGTTTTGCCATTAAGCAACGTCACACTTATGACTATCCACAACCCTCAAAATGAGTAGGCTTTGACAGAAAGTGACTTAGATAATTTCTTGAGAACGTCCACACTGGCGACCAAGTCGCTTGTGCCAAAGATTGGCAGACGACTCCCAAAAGCAAACACCTCATGAACTGGCTTGAAGGCAAAACAACTCGGAAAAGACAAAGTACAAGTCACCCATGGCAATGGCGTGGACTCGAGTTTTGCCATTTTCAACAGCAGAAATATGGTTAAGGTCTTGAATGAACCTACAACCACCAGCAGTAGCTCGACGAGCAGCAAATAAATTGCGAGGAATCTTAGGAACATATAAAACATCTGTTGAGCATGCAATGTTGTCGCAGACTAGTGCAGTTGATAATGCACGTGAGTTTGGGTGGGAAACTATGGTTGATAACCTATGTTTATTTTAGTTTTAGCCGCATTAGGTTTAAGCCCTTATGTGACTGTGGTTACCCTCCTTAATTTGTTACAAAGTTGAAGTGTAATACAAACCCACTCAACTTTGGGACAAACCCAAATGAAAAATTTTCACCACTGCAAATTTTTCTTTTCCTTGGGTATATAAGGAAGGTTTCTTTCCCAACTTTTATAATTTTTCTTTTCCTTTTTCTTTCTTCTTATATAACTGTTTTATCTTATATATTTCAATATATACTTTTCTTGGATAATATTTTCTATTATTATCATGACTTCCCGTGTCACAGTTCAACAGGTTATGGGCCGCACTTCGGCTTATATTAATCTTACTTCCTCTGAAAAACTCACTCCTCTCAACTATCATGTCTGGGCTACTAAGATCCTTTTGGGTCTTCGTGCAATGAATAATGGTGTCCATCTTTATGTCGAAGCTGGTACTGTCAATCCAGCTGCTAATGAATCCCTCGAAGACCTCACCGCCTCGCTTGACACCGTCGTCCATGATGTTATCCTCAACAATATTTCTCCTGAGTTGATCGAACATGTTAATGATGTGGCCATTAGAGGCCGTGACCTCTGGCTTTATCTTCATCAGGAGTATAGTCAACTTCAACCCGCCGATGTCATCTCACTTATGAAATCCCTCTATGCTGGCAATATTGATGTTGGTCCAAAGTTTGTTTCTTCTGTTCGTTCTTATGTTGCTACATGGCGTTCCATCTACCAATCATTGTCGCCTGATTCGGTTGTGGCCTTCAACGCTTTGGCCTCAATGGGTCCCAATTGTGAGCGCTTCATCCAGTACGCCTTGGAGCACCGCTTTGATAGTAACAATGCTGACAACCTTGATATCAACAACTTCATCCGGAACACTGATAAATGGGCCAAGTTGTTGAAGATTACTGGACCCCAGCTACTCTTTCGACTGAAGCGTTCGTTGCTTCATCAAAGAAGTACAATAACAAATCTAAGGGTGATGGTATCAAATGTTTTCGTTGTAAGAGGCGTGGTCATACTTCCAACAATTGTCATGTCTCTTGGGAAGAGGTTCAGGCTGCTCGCCAAGATAATAAGGATGACAAGGAATCTAAAGAGGCTAAAACCTCAAGAGGTTGGTTTGCTGAGACTATTGATGAATTTTCTGAGATAGTTGATGATGATCCATTTGTGAGTTCCGCTTTTGTGTCCGAGACATCTGTTGTTTCTGAAAAGTTTGGTAACAGTTGCTCCGAGTCGTTTGATGATTTGGAATCCGAACTTTTTGATTCTTCTGAGCCGTGTGTCGGCGATGAAGATTGTTTTGTTGGTCAAGTTTCTGAGCATTGTTCAAACTCAGAACTTGATATTGATTCAGTTGGTAAACCGTTTGTTGGTTCCACTGATGATTCTTGTTTTATTTCTGAACCGTATGTCGGTTCTACTGTTGTTTGTTTGGAGTCTGAACCGTGTGTCAGTTCAGCTCCTATTTGTTTTGATTCTGAATCGTTGGTCGATTCGGATATTGTTCCTTTTGATTCTGAACCGTTGGTCGGTTCTTCTTTTATTTCTTGTTCTGATTCTAAACCGTTGGTCGGTTCTGATGATGATATTGTCTTACCTTCTTTTGATTTTTTGGTGGATTCAATTACTGAACCTTCTCCACCTAATGTTAAACCTATTGTTACACCAAAATCCCGTTTTTCCATTCTTTTACTTATCTTTTGTTACCATCATGTTGTTTTCCTTGATTTTAATTGTCGTCTGGCATCCTTCTTCAATCTTGGATTTAAGTCATTCAGTCCATCACGTTTTTGTTGCTGAATCTACTACTTCTGCTGAGGCCAACTTAGTTGTTGGGTCTGATTCTTTGACTTTATCCATGATACCGGTGCTACCAGTCACATTTGCAATAACATCTCATATTTTTCTTCTCTTCGTCCCACTTCGGCTACCATTCGTGGTCTTGGTTCTGCTACTGCTGAGGGGGGTGGCGACATTGTCGTTGATCTTCTTGGTAAAGATGACCAGCCTTGTGACCGCGTTGTTCTTCGAGATGTTTTATATGTTCCTAAGATTCCTCGCAATTTATTTGCTGCTCGTCGAGCTACTGCTGGTGGTTGTCGGTTCATTCAAGACCTTAACCATATTTCTGCTGTTGAAAATGGCAAAACTCGAGTCCACGCCATTGCCATGGGTGACTTGTACTTTTGTCGTTTCCGAGTTGTTTTGCCTTCCAAGCCTGTCCATGAGGTGTTTGCTGTTGAGTCGTCTGCCAATCTTTGGCACAAGCGACTTGGTCACGCCAGTGTGGACGTTCTCAAGAAATTATCTAAGTCACTTTCTGTCAAGCCTACTCATTTTGAGGTTGTGGATAGTCATAAGTGTGACGCTTGTTTGGGTGGCAAAGCCACAGCATTGCCATTTAATGGTACCACAGAAAAAAGCTAGTCGTCCTTTGGAATTATTTGTTTCTGATTTGAGCGGTCCTCATGTCGCTACCCCTGGGTCATCGTTATGTCTTAACCATTATGGATTATTATTCCAGGTACTCTTATGTTGAGTTGTTGGTTAGGAAAAGTGATGCAAGTCTTGCCATTCGTAATTTTATTGCTAGGTGTGAATCTTATTTTTCTGGTGATTCTGCTGGTGATCGAGTTGCATATTTTCATTCTGATAATGGCGGCGAATACATTTCCAAAGACCTGGAGCAGTTCTTTGTGTCTAAGGGTATCAAGCATACTTATACAGTTCCTCATACTCCTCAGCAAAATGGTGTTGCTGAGCGATTGAATCGCACATTATTTGAAAAGCCAAGTCTATGCTTTTATATGCTCATGCTCCTGAGTATTTATGGGGTGAAGCTGTCAAGTCTGCTAATTATATTAGGAACCGTCTTCCTAGTCGTACCACTGGTGGTGTTGCACCTCTTCAACTTTGGACTGGTAAACCTCCTAGTTATCACCATATGAAAGTATTTGGTTGTCAAGCTACAGTTGTTCTTCCTGGTGCTAAAAGAGAATCTAAGTTAAGTTCAAATACTGAAGCTGGTGTTTTTGTTGGGTATTCTTTGGATCGTACAGCTTATCGAGTTCTTCTTGATTCAAGCATTGTTGAAGCCAGGAGTGTTTACTTTGATGAGTCCAAGTTTCCATTTATGAAAAGTGATAAAGACTTGTCTATTAATGGTACTGGTGTTGGGTTTAGTGTTGGTTCTGGTTCAGGGTCCATGTCAGGGCCTTGTTTTGATTCTAAGGGGACTGGTTTAGGATCTAATGTTAGGGTTAATTCTATTGCTAGTTCTGATTCAAGTTCTGGTTCTAGTTTTGGGTCTCATAGATCTTTACCAGCATCCTCATCTGGTTCTGGTTCTGGTTCTATTTGTGCTTTACCGTCTCCGTCTCCGTCTTCTTCTCCGTCTCATTCTCCGTCGCCACCTCCTCCTTCTTCTTCTTCTATTATTGTTCATAAGCCTCGTTCTGTTCGTCGCATTTTGTCTACACCTTCTGCTCCTCTTGAGTCTCCTACTCTTCCTACTCTTCCTTCTATTCCTTCTGTTCCATCTCTTCCTAGTTCTCCTATTCTTCCACCTTCAGATCATGATGTCTCTATCTCTCCTGACTCAAGTCCTATTGTTTCTTCTTCGGAATATATTCCTTCACAATTAGACTTATCTGAAGCTGGTCCATCTATTAATGAATCTAATATTTCAGGTGATTCTGGGATCTCGCAACGAGGGGGTGATATTGGGTTTCAACCGTCTATCATTGCTTCGTCTCCCACTCCACCTTCTGTTGAGTTGGAAGTAGTGCCACTTAGTCAAGAATCTCCTTCGTCTGATCTAGTTAATTCTCTTGACCAAGCTGGTGTTAGTGTTGTCACTAAGGATGATACTCAAGCTGTTTTGCCTAAATCTCGATCTCGTGTTGTTGCTGTTCGTTTACCTTCTATAACTCCTGCCAAACGCCCGAGTTCTGATGACATTGTTTCACCTCCTTCTAAACATCTTTGTGAAAATTCTTTGAAACAATCTCCAGTGTCTGCAACACCTGCAAAACGTCCAGCTGAAGAAGAGTGTATTTCTTATCGTCGTCTCAAATCTCTCCGCTTTGAGTATGATGATGTGGCTTTACTTGTTTTTACAGATCCTAGTAGTTTTGAAGAAGCTATGTCTAGTGAAGAAGCTGAGTTTTGGCTTGAAGCCTGTGTTATTGAAATGTCGTCTCTTAAACGCAATGGTACTTGGGAATTGGTTGATCTCCCACCTGGTCGCAAGGCTATCAATAGCAAATGGGTGTTTAAAGTTAAGCGCAAAGCTGACGGTTCAATTGAACGTTACAAAGCTCGTCTCGTGTGTATTGGATTTTCGCAAGTTGAAGGTATTGATTATACTGAAACTTTTGCTCCTGTTGTTCGTTACGAGACTGTGAGGATTGTTCTTGCTATTGCTGCTCAGTTTGGGTTCCAGGTTCATCATATGGATGTCGAGACTGCATTTCTTAATGGTGATCTCAAAGAAGATATTTATATGAGACAACCTAAAGGCTTTGTTGTCAAAGGTCAGGAATCTAAAGTGTGTCATTTGAAGAAGTCTTTATATGGTTTAAAGCAAGCTCCTTTGTGTTGGAATGAGAAGATTCATGGTGCTCTTGTCAAACTTGGGTTTATTCGTAATGAAAGTGACTACGGTGTGTATACCAAAGGATCTGGGTCTACCATGGTTATTATTGCACTGTATGTTGATGATTTACTTATTTCTGGCAATTCTTCTGAGGTCATTGCCAAAACCAAGTCTTCTTTGTCATCTATGTTTAAGATGAAAGACTTGGGCCCAGTCGAGCAGTTCCTTGGCATGAGAGTTAAGCAGTCACCGTACCATATTACTGTGGATGTTTCACGTTATATTTTGATATGTTGGAAGAGTTTGGTATGCAGAACTGTTCAAGTGTCAAGACTCCTTTACCCACTCGTGATCTTTCTGATTTTTCCGAGTCTGACTCTGCTACCGATGCCTCCATGTATCGCAGTATTATTGGTAAGCTGATTTATGCTGCTAATTGTGCTCGTCCTGATCTTGCTGTTGCTGTTAGCTTTCTTTGTCGATATATGCAGAATCCTAAGTCTATTCATATGGAAGCTGCTAAGCATACTCTTCGTTATCTTAAGGGTACTGCTGAACTTGGTCTTGAATATCGAGCTCAGAAAGTCTACAAGCTTGTTGGCTATAGTGATGCCGATTATGCACAGGACAAGCAGGACCGTAAGTCCTTTACTGGGTATGTTTTATTCTGTCTGGTGGTCCCATTACTTGGGCTTGTCGAAAGCAAGTTAGTCCTGCATCGTCCAGCGTCGAGTCTGAGTATATGTCATTGTCTGATGCGTCTAAGGAATGCTTCTGGATTAATCAGTTGTTGTCCCTTTGCAAGATTCCTGTTCCGTTGCCAGTGACTATGTTTGAGGACAATCAGGGATGTATTGCATTGGCTCAGAACCCAGTGTTTCATCGTCGCACCAAGCATATTGATGTTCGTTATCATGTTGTGCGTCACTATATTCGCAGTGGAGTGATTCATCTGGAGTATCTTGATACTCAAGTGATGTTGGCAGATATGTTCACTAAGAATCTTGGTCGTGTGAAGTTTGAGACATTGAGGGGACTACTTGGTATGAAGGCAGTAGGTGATTCTGCGACAAGGGGAGGTGTTGAGCATGCAATGTTGTCGCAGACTAGTGCAGTTGATAATGCACGTGAGTTTGGGTGGGAAACTATGGTTGATAACCTATGTTTATTTTAGTTACAGCCGCATGAGGTTTAAGCCCTTATGTGACTGTGGTTACCCTCCTTAATTTGTTACAAAGTTGAAGTGTAATACAAACCCACTCAACTTTGGGACAAACCCAAATGAAAAATTTTCACCACTGCAAATTTTTCTTTTCCTTGGGTATATAAGGAAGGTTTCTTTCCCAACTTTTATAATTTTTCTTTTCCTTTTTCTTTCTTCTTATATAACTGTTTTATCTTATATATTTCAATATATACTTTTCTTGGATAATATTTTCTATTATTATCATGACTTCCCGTGTCACAGTTCAACAACATCTCGAAGAACAACGCGGTCACAAGGCTGGTCATCTTTACCAAGAAGATCAACGACAATGTCGCCAACCCCCTCAGCAGTAGCAGAACCAAGACCACGAATAGTAGCCGAAGTGGGACGAAGAGAAGAAAAATATGAGATGTTATTGCAAATGTGACTGGTAATATCATGGATAAAGTCAAAAGAATCAGACCCAACAACTAAGTTGGCCTCAGCAGAAGTAGTAGATTCAGCAACAAAAACGTGATGTACTGAATGACTTAAATCCAAGATTGAAGAAGGATGCCAGACGACAATTAAAATCAAGGAAAACAACATGATGGTAACAAAAGATAAGTAAAAGAATGGAGAAAAACGGGATTTTGGTGTAACAATAGGTTTAACATTAGGTGGAGAAGGTTCAGTAATTGAATCCACCAAAAAATCAAAAGAAGGTAAGACAATATCATCATCAGAACCGACCAACGGTTTAGAATCAGAACAAGAATAAAAGAAGAACCGACCAACGGTTCAGAATCAAAGGAACAATATCCGAATCGACCAACGATTCAGAATCAAAACAAATAGGAGCTGAACTGACACACGGTTCAGACTCCAAACAAACAACAGTAGAACCGACATACGGTTCAGAAATAAAACAAGAATCATCAGTGGAACCAACAAACGGTTTACCAACTGAATCAATATCAAGTTCTGAGTTTGAACAATGCTCAGAAACTTGACCAACAAAACAATCTTCATCGCCGACACACGGCTCAGAAGAATCAAAAAGTTCGGATTCCAAATCATCAAACGACTCGGAGCAACTGTTACCAAACTTTTCAGAAACAACAGATGTCTCGGACACAAAAAGCGGAACTCACAAATGGATCATCATCAACTATCTCAGAAAATTCATCAATAGTCTCAGCAAACCAACCTCTTGAGGTTTTAGCCTCTTTAGATTCCTTGTCATCCTTATTATCTTGGCGAGCAGCCTGAACCTCTTCCCAAGAGACATGACAATTGTTGGAAGTATGACCACGCCTCTTACAACGGAAACATTTGATACCATCACCCTTAGATTTGTTATTGTACTTCTTTGATGAAGCAACGAACGCTTCAGTCGAAAGAGTAGCAGGGGGTCCAGTAATCTTCAACAACTTGGCCCATTTATCAGTGTTCCGGATGAAGTTGTTGATATCAAGGTTGTCAGTATTGTTGTTACTATCAAAGCGGTGCTCCAAGGCGTACTGGATGAAGCGCTCACAATTGGGACCCATTGAAGCCAAAGCGTTGAAGGCCACGACCGAATCAGGCGACAATGATTGGTAGATGGAACGCCACGTAGCAACATAAGAACGAGCAGAAGAAACAAACTTTGGACCAACATCAATATTGCCAGCATAGAGGGATTTCATAAGTGAGATGACATCGGCGGGTTGAAGTTGACTATACTCCTGATGAAGATAAAGCCAGAGGTCACGGCCTCTAATGGCCACATCATTAACATGTTCGATCAACTCAGGAGAAATATTGTTGAGGATAACATCATGGACGACGGTGTCAAGCGAGGCGGTGAGGTCTTCGAGGGATTCATTAGCAGCTGGATTGACAGTACCAGCTTCGACATAAAGATGGACACCATTATTCATAGCACGAAGACCCAAAAGGATCTTAGTAGCCCAGACATGATAGTTGAGAGGAGTGAGTTTTTCAGAGGAAGTAAGATTAATATAAGCCGAAGTGCGGCCCATAACCTGTTGAACTGTGACACGGGAAGTCATGATAATAATAGAAAATATTATCCAAGAAAAGTATATATTGAAATATATAAGATAAAACAGTTATATAAGAAGAAAGAAAAAGGAAAAGAAAAATTATAAAAGTTTGGGAAGAAACCTTCCTTAAATATCCAAGGGAAAGAAAAATTTGCAGTGGTGAAAATTTTTCATTTGGGTTTGTCCCAAAGTTGAGTGGGTTTGTATTACACTTCAACTTTGTAACAAATTAAGGAGGGTAATGTTGAACTGTGACACGGGAAGTCATGATAATAATAGAAAATATTATCCAAGAAAAGTATATATTGAAATATATAAGATAAAACAGTTATATAAGAAGAAAGAAAAAGGAAAAGAAAAATTATAAAAGTTGGGGAAGAAACCTTCCTTATATACCCAAGGAAAAGAAAAATTTGCAGTGGTGAAAATTTTTCATTTGGGTTTGTCCCAAAGTTGAGTGGGTTTGTATTACACTTCAACTTTGTAACAAATTAAGGAGGGTAACCACAGTCACATAAGGGCTTAAACCTAATGCGGCTAAAACTAAAATAAACATAGATTGTCAACCATAGTTTCCCACCCAAACTCACGTGCATTATCAACTGCACTAGTCTGCGACAACATTGCATGCTCAACACCTCCCCTTGTCGCAGAATCACCTACTGCCTTCATACCAAGTAGTCCCCTCAATGTCTCAAACTTCACACGACCAAGATTCTTAGTGAACATATCTGCCAACATCACTTGAGTATCAAGATACTCCAGATGAATTACTCCACTGCGAATATAGTGACGCACAACATGATAACGAACATCAATATGCTTGGTACGACGATGAAACACTGGGTTCTGAGCCAAAGCAATACATCCCTGATTGTCCTCAAACATAGTCACTGGCAACGGAACAGGAATCTTGCAAAGGGACAACAACTGATTAATCCAGAAGCATTCCTTAGACGCATCAGACAATGACATATACTCAGACTCGACGCTGGACGATGCAGGACTAACTTGCTTTCGACAAGCCCAAGTAATGGGACCACCAGACAGAATGAAAACATACCCAGTAAAGGACTTACGGTCCTGTTTGTCCTGTGCATAGTCGGCATCACTATAACCAACAAGCTTGTAGACTTTCTGAGCTCGATATTCAAGACCAAGTTCAGCAGTACCCTTAAGATAACGAAGAGTATGCTTAGCAGCTTCCATATGAATAGACTTAGGATTCTGCATATATCGACAAAGAAAGCTAACAGCAACAGCAAGATCAGGACGAGCACAATTAGCAGCATAAATCAGCTTTCCAATAATACTGCGATACATGGAGGCGTCGGTAGCAGAGTCAGACTCGGAAAAATCAGAAAGATCACGAGTGGGTAAAGGAGTCTTGACACTTGAACAGTTCTGCATACCAAACTCTTCCAACATGTCAAAAATATAACGTGAAACATCCACAGTAATATGGTAAGGTGACTGCTTAACTCTCATGCCAAGGAACTGCTCGACTGGGCCCAAGTCTTTCATCTTAAACATAGATGACAAAGAAGACTTGGTTTTGGCAATGACTTCAGAAGAATTGCCAGAAATAAGTAAATCATCAACATACAGTGCAATAATGACCATGGTAGACCCAGATCCTTTGGTATACACACCGTAGTCACTTTCATTACGAATAAACCCAAGTTTGACAAGAGCACCATGAATCTTCTCATTCCAACACAAAGGAGCTTGCTTTAAACCATATAAAGACTTCTTCAAATGACACACTTTAGATTCCTGACCTTTGACAACAAAGCCTTTAGGTTGTCTCATATAAATATCTTCTTTGAGATCACCATTAAGAAATGCAGTCTCGACATCCATATGATGAACCTGGAACCCAAACTGAGCAGCAATAGCAAGAACAATCCTCACAGTCTCGTAACGAACAACGGGAGCAAAAGTTTCAGTATAATCAATACCTTCAACTTGCGAAAATCCAATACACACTAGACGAGATTTGTAACGTTCAATTGAACCGTCAGCTTTGCGCTTAACTTTAAACACCCATTTGCTATTGATAGCCTTGCGACCAGGTGGGAGATCAACCAATTCCCAAGTACCATTGCGTTTAAGAGACGACATTTCAATAACACAGGCTTCAAGCCAAAACTCAGCTTCTTCACTAGACATAGCTTCTTCAAAACTACTAGGATCTGTAAAAACAAGTAAAGCCACATCATCATACTCAAAGCGGAGAGATTTGAGACGACGATAAGAAATACACTCTTCTTCAGCTGGACGTTTTGCAGGTGTTGCAGACACTGGAGATTGTTTCAAAGAATTTTCACAAAGATGTTTAGAAGGAGGTGAAACAATGTCATCAGAACTCGGGCGTTTGGCAGGAGTTATAGAAGGTAAACGAACAGCAACAACACGAGATCGAGATTTAGGCAAAACAGCTTGAGTATCATCCTTAGTGACAACACTAACACCAGCTTGGTCAAGAGAGTTAACAAGATCAGACGAAGGAGATTCTTGACTAAGTGGCACTACTTCCAATTCAACAGAAGGTGGTGGAGTGGGAGACGAAGCAATGATAGACGGTTGAAACCCAATATCACCCCCTCGTTGCGAGATCCCAGAATCACCAGAAATATCAGATTCATTAATACCAGCTTCAGATAAGTCTAATTGTGAAGGAATATATTCCGAAGGAGGAACAATAGGACTAGAGTCAGGAGAGATAGAGACTTCATGATCTGAAGGTGGAAGAATAGGAGAACTAGGAAGAGATGGAACAGAAGGAATAGAAGGAAGAGTAGGAAGAGTAGGAGACTCAAGAGGAGCAGAAGGTGTAGACAAAATGCGACGAACAGAACGAGGCTTATGAACAATAATAGAAGAAGAAGAAGGAGGAGGCGGCGACGGAGAATGAGACGGAGAAGAAGACGGAGACGGAGACGGTAAAGCACAAATAGAACCAGAACCAGAACCAGATGAGGATGCTGGTAAAGATCTATGAGACCCAAAACTAGAACCAGAACTTAAATCAGAACTAGCAATAGAATTAACCCTAACATTGGATCCTAAACCAGTCCCCTTAGAATCAAAACAAGGTCCTGACATGGACCCTGAACCAGAACCAACACTAAACCCAACACCAGTACCATTAATAGACAAGTCCTTATCACTTTTCATAAATGGAAACTTGGACTCATCAAAGTAAACACTCCTGGCTTCAACAATGCTTGAATCAAGAAGAACTCGATAAGCTGTACGATCCAAAGAATACCCAACAAAAACACCAGCTTCAGTATTTGAACTTAACTTAGATTCTCTTTTAGCACCAGGAAGAACAACTGTAGCTTGACAACCAAATACTTTCATATGGTGATAACTAGGAGGTTTACCAGTCCAAAGTTGAAGAGGTGCAACACCACCAGTGGTACGACTAGGAAGACGGTTCCTAATATAATTAGCAGACTTGACAGCTTCACCCCATAAGTATTCAGGAGCATGAGCATATAAAAGCATAGACTTGGCTTTCTCAAATAATGTGCGATTCAATCGCTCAGCAGCACCATTTTGTTGAGGAGTATGAGGAACTGTATAAGTATGCTTGATACCCTTAGACACAAAGAACTGCTCCAGGTCTTTGGAAATGTATTCGCCGCCATTATCAGAATGAAAATATGCAACTCGATCACCAGCAGAATCACCAGAAAAATAAGATTCACACCTAGCAATAAAGTTACGAATGGCAAGACTTGCATCACTTTTCCTAACCAACAACTCCACATAAGAGTACCTGGAACAATAATCCATAATGGTTAAGACATAACGATGACCCACAGGGGTAGCGACATGAGGACCGCTCAAATCAGAAACAAATAATTCCAAAGGACGACTAGCTTTTTCTGTGGTACCATTAAATGGCAATGCTGTGGCTTTGCCACCCAAGCAAGCGTCACACTTATGACTATCCACAACCTCAAAATGAGTAGGCTTGACAGAAAGTGACTTAGATAATTTCTTGAGAACGTCCACACTGGCGTGACCAAGTCGCTTGTGCCAAAGATTGGCAGACGACTCAACAGCAAACACCTCATGAACTGGCTTGGAAGGCAAAACAACTCGGAAACGACAAAAGTACAAGTCACCCATGGCAATGGCGTGGACTCGAGTTTTGCCATTTTCAACAGCAGAAATATGGTTAAGGTCTTGAATGAACCGACAACCACCAGCAGTAGCTCGACGAGCAGCAAATAAATTGCGAGGAATCTTAGGAACATATAAAACATCTCGAAGAACAACGCGGTCACAAGGCTGGTCATCTTTACCAAGAAGATCAACAACAATGTCGCCAACCCCCTCAGCAGTAGCAGAACCAAGACCACGAATGGTAGCCGAAGTGGGACGAAGAGAAGAAAAATATGAGATGTTATTGCAAATGTGACTGGTAGCACCGGTATCATGGATAAAGTCAAAAGAATCAGACCCAACAACTAAGTTGGCCTCAGCAGAAGTAGTAGATTCAGCAACAAAAACGTGATGTACTGAATGACTTAAATCCAAGATTGAAGAAGGATGCCAGACGACAATTAAAATCAAGGACAACAACATGATGGTAACAAAAGATAAGTAAAAGAATGGAGAAAAACGGGATTTTGGTGTAACAATAGGTTTAACAATAGGCGGAGAAGGTTCAGTAATTGAATCCACCAAAAAATCAAAAGAAGGTAAGACAATATCATCATCAGAACCGACCAACGGTTTAGAATCAGAACAAGAAATAAAAGAAGAACCGACCAACGGTTCAGAATCAGAACAAGAAATAAAAGAAAAACCGACCAACGGTTCAGAATCCGAATCCGAATCGACCAACGATTCAGAATCAAAACAAATAGGAGCTGAACTGACACACGGTTCAGACTCCAAACAAACAACAGTAGAACCGACATACGGTTCAGAATTAAAACAAGAATCATCAGTGGAACCAACAAACGGTTTACCAACTGAATCAATATCAAGTCCTGAGTTTGAACAATACTCAGAAACTTGACCAACAAAACAATCTTCATCGCCGACACACGGCTCAGAAGAATCAAAAAGTTCGGATTCCAAATCATCAAACGACTCGGAGCAACTGTTACCAAACTTTTCAGAAACAACAGATGTCTCGGACACAAAAGCGGAACTCACAAATGGATCATCATCAACTATCTCAGAAAATTCATCAATAGTCTCAGCAAACCAACCTCTTGAGGTTTTAGCCTCCTTAGATTCCTTGTCATCCTTATTATCTTGGCGAGCAGCCTGAACCTCTTCCCAAGAGACATGACAATTGTTGGAAGTATGACCACGCCTCTTACAACGGAAACATTTAATACCATCACCCTTAGATTTGTTATTGTACTTCTTTGATGAAGCAACGAACGCTTCAGTCGAAAGAGTAGCTGGAGGTCCAGTAATCTTCAACAACTTGGCCCATTTATCAGTGTTCCGGATGAAGTTGTTGATATCAAGGTTGTCAGCATTGTTACTATCAAAGCGGTGCTCCAAGGCGTACTGGATGAAGCGCTCACAATTGGGACCCATTGAAGCCAAAGCGTTGAAGGCCACAACCGAATCAGGCGACAATGATTGGTAGATGGAACGCCATGTAGCAACATATGAACGAACAGAAGAAACAAACTTTGGACCAACATCAATATTGCCAGCATAGAGGGATTTCATAAGTGAGATGACATCGGCGGGTTGAAGTTGACTATACTCCTGATGAAGATAAAGCCAAAGGTCACGGCCTCTAATGGCCACATCATTAACATGTTCGATCAATTCAGGAGAAATGTTGTTGAGGATGACATCATGGACGACGGTATCAAGCGAGGCGGTGAGGTCTTCGAGGGATTCATTAGCAGCTGGATTGACAGTACCAGCTTCGACATAAAGATGGACACCATTATTCATTGCACGAAGACCCAAAAGGATCTTAGTAGCCCAGACATGATAGTTGAGAGGAGTGAGTTTTTCAGAGGAAGTAAGATTAATATAAGCCGAAGTGCGGCCCATAACCTGTTGAACAGCTAAAATAGGAAGCTAAGCTGGACAACCATAAAAGAACGGCACTACGGGGGATCGAACCCCAGTCTCACTCATATGGCCTGAGTGCGTGTTACCACTACACCACAGAGCCTACTTATTGTTAAGTAGTAACTCTTTCATGATGTTACTGGGAAAATCTCGTGATACACAAACGGTGGATAGTGTTGGAACTGGACCCTACACTCAACAGGTCTCAACACGACACACGTATATTCCAACATAATGGCCACATCATTAACATGTTCGATCAACTCAGGAGAAATATTGTTGAGGATGACATCATGGACGACGGTATCAAGCGAGGCGGTGAGGTCTTCAAGGGATTCATTGGCAGCTGGATTGACAGTACCAGCTTCGACATAAAGGTGGACACCATTATTCATAGCACGAAGACCCAAAAGAATTTTGGTAGCCCAGACATGATAGTTGAGAGGAGTGAGTTTTTCAGAGGAAGTAAGATTAATATAAGCCGAAGTGCGGCCCATAACCTGTTGAACTGTGACACGGGAAGTCATGATAATAATAGAAAATATTATCCAAGAAAAGTATATATTGAAATATATAAGATAAAACAGTTATATAAGAAGAAAGAAAAAGGAAAAGAAAAATTATAAAAGTTGGGGAAGAAACCTTCCTTATATACCCAAGGAAAAGAAAAATTTGCAGTGGTGAAAATTTTTCATTTGGGTTTGTCCCAAAGTTGAGTGGGTTTGTATTACACTTCAACTTTGTAACAAATTAAGGAGGGTAACCACAGTCACATAAGGGCTTAAACCTAATGCGGCTAAAACTAAAATAAACATAGGTTATCAACCATAGTTTCCCACCCAAACTCACGTGCATTATCAACTGCACTAGTCTGCGACAACATTGCATGCTCAACACAACATTGCATGCTCAACAGATATTGGGTTTCAACCGTCTATCATTGCTTCGTCTCCCACTCCACCACCTTCTGTTGAATTGGAAGTAGTGCCACTTAGTCAAGAATCTCCTTCGTCTGATCTTGTTAATTCTCTTGACCAAGCTGGTGTTAGTGTTGTCACTAAGGATGATACTCAAGCTGTTTTGCCTAAATCTCGATCTCGTGTTGTTGCTGTTCGTTTACCTTCTATAACTCCTGCCAAACGCCCGAGTTCTGATGACATTGTTTCACCTCCTTCTAAACACCTTTGTGAAAATTCTTTGAAACAATCTCCAGTGTCTGCAACACCTGCAAAACGTCCAGCTGAAGAAGAGTGTATTTCTTATCGTCGTCTCAAATCTCTCCGCTTTGAGTATGATGATGTGGCTTTACTTGTTTTTACAGATCCTAGTAGTTTTGAAGAAGCTATGTCTAGTGAAGAAGCTGAGTTTTGGCTTGAAGCCTGTGTTATTGAAATGTCGTCTCTTAAACGCAATGGTACTTGGGAATTGGTTGATCTCCCACCTGGTCGCAAGGCTATCAATAGCAAATGGGTATTTAAAGTTAAGCGCAAAGCTGACGGTTCAATTGAACGTTACAAAGCTCGTCTCGTGTGTATTGGATTTTCGCAAGTTGAAGGTATTGATTATACTGAAACTTTTGCTCCGTTGTTCGTTACGAGACTGTGAGGATTGTTCTTGCTATTGCTGCTCAGTTTGGGTTCCAGGTTCATCATATGGATGTCGAGACTGCATTTCTTAATGGTGATCTCAAAGAAGATATTTATATGAGACAACCTAAAGGCTTTGTTGTCAAAGGTCAGGAATCTAAAGTGTGTCATTTGAAGAAGTCTTTATATGGTTTAAAGCAAGCTCCTTTGTGTTGGAATGAGAAGATTCATGGTGCTCTTGTCAAACTTGGGTTTATTCGTAATGAAAGTGACTACGGTGTGTATACCAAAGGATCTGGGTCTACCATGGTCATTATTGCACTGTATGTTGATGATTTACTTATTTCTGGCAATTCTTCTGAAGTCATTGCCAAAACCAAGTCTTCTTTGTCATCTATGTTTAAGATGAAAGACTTGGGCCCAGTCGAGCAGTTCCTTGGCATGAGAGTTAAGCAGTCACCTTACCATATTACTGTGGATGTTTCACGTTATATTTTTGACATGTTGGAAGAGTTTGGTATGCAGAACTGTTCAAGTGTCAAGACTCCTTTACCCACTCGTGATCTTTCTGATTTTTCCGAGTCTGACTCTGCTACCGATGCCTCCATGTATCGCAGTATTATTGGTAAGCTGATTTATGCTGCTAATTGTGCTCGTCCTGATCTTGCTGTTGCTGTTAGCTTTCTTTGTCGATATATGCAGAGTCCGAAGTCTATTCATATGGAAGCTGCTAAGCATACTCTTCGTTATCTTAAGGGTACTGCTGAACTTGGTCTTGAATATCGAGCTCAGAAAGTCTACAAGCTTGTTGGCTATAGTGATGCCGACTATGCACAGGACAAGCAGGACCGTAAGTCCTTTACTGGGTATGTTTTCATTCTGTCTGGTGGTCCCATTACTTGGGCTTGTCGAAAGCAAGTTAGTCCTGCATCGTCCAGCGTCGAGTCTGAGTATATGTCATTGTCTGATGCGTCTAAGGAATGCTTCTGGATTAATCAGTTGTTGTCTCTTTGCAAGATTCCTGTTCCGTTGCCAGTGACTATGTTTGAGGACAATCAGGGATGTATTGCATTGGCTCAGAACCCAGTGTTTCATCGTCGCACCAAGCATATTGATGTTCGTTATCATGTTGTGCGTCACTATATTCGCAGTGGAGTGATTCATCTGGAGTATCTTGATACTCAAGTGATGTTGGCAGATATGTTCACTAAGAATCTTGGTCGTGTGAAGTTTGAGACATTGAGGGGACTACTTGGTATGAAGGCAGTAGGTGATTCTGCGACAAGGGGAGGTGTTGAGCATGCAATGTTGTCGCAGACTAGTGCAGTTGATAATGCACGTGAGTTTGGGTGGGAAACTATGGTTGACAATCTATGTTTATTTTAGTTTTAGCCTCATTAGGTTTAAGCCCTTATGTGACTGTGGTTACCCTCCTTAATTTGTTACAAAGTTGAAGTGTAATACAAACCCACTCAACTTTGGGACAAACCCAAATGAAAAATTTTCACCACTGCAAATTTTTCTTTCCCTTGGGTATATAAGGAAGGTTTCTTCCCCAACTTTTATAATTTTTCTTTTCCTTTTTCTTTCTTCTTATATAACTGTTTTATCTTATATATTTCAATATATACTTTTCTTGGATAATATTTTCTATTATTATCATGACTTCCCGTGTCACAGTTCAACATACATTTCCTGCCATTCTTCCATTGCTTGTTTCTTCAAAATTCCAATTGTCTGATTTTGTTGTTGTTTCAGTGTAAGAGGTTCAACCCTCTTGCATTTTTGTTTTTCATCCTTTTTAATCATATAGTCTCTATCATCTTTTGCCAACATGTAAAGCGTGGTTAGCTTTGCAATTGGAGATTTCTCAATCAATTTTAACAAGTTACCATTAATAGGATTTTATTTTTTCCCTTTGTTTGTTTTTATTCAAGGGTTATAGTATATAACATCAGCATCTGCGCTATCCTTTTAATGTCAAACTATGTGACTTGCCGGTTTTCATTTGTACCTTTTTAGTACGAGTAGTTTCTGTTCTGTGCGTCGCCGGTAGCCTGGAATATGGGCCCTGATGCCAGCTTACGAGGAACAGGGAGAACCAGTCTGTCGGTCCCAAAACCTTCCCAACCCATTTCCACTTATCTTCACGGACGCCCATGTATTTCTTAATCTCTTCCATCAGAGATACGGCCCGCAATCACCTGCAGGCTATTTAGACTGTACGGAAGAGTCGGCATTCCTGTAACCAGGGTAGCCTGTGGTTTTCAGTCTAGGTGTATACTCCCGTACACATCTTCAGGAAAAGGGGGTATTCTGGGAATCGAACCCAGTATCTTCCGCTTTCGAGCAATCGTGTTATCCTTTACACCATCCAGCCCTTTCCCCTTCGACCAGCATTCTCTAAATTTACTTTTTTAACCCAGTTAGCTAATTTTCATCGAAATGGTCACTCTTTCTGTAAAAGATTAACAAGCAACAACCAAGACAAATAATTATAAATGCTTAAAGATCAAACATGCAATCAAAATAAATCATTATCGATAAATGCTTGAGAATAAAAATACATTAATCTAGATTAAGATTAAGAAGTGATTAAGAAGGAATTATTAAAGAGAATTGTACGAATATATATAGTCATATATTTCCATAGTTTTTATCAGTATCTAAAAAGATATTTACATCAATACAATAAGTTTTATATTAAATGTTTGTTTGTTTTTATTCAAAGTTTTATATTAAACTATGTTTGTTTGTTTGTTTTTATTCAAGGGTTATAGAACTATATAACATCAGCATCTGCGCTATCCTTTTATTGTCTGACTATGTGACTTGCCGGTTTTCATTTGTACCTTTTTAGTACAGGTGGTTTCTGTTCTGTGCGTCTCCGGTAGCCCGGAAGATGGGCCCTGATGCCAGCTTACGAGGAACAGGGAGAACCAGTCTGTCGGTCCCAAAACCTTCCCAACCCATTTCCACTTATCTTCACGGACGCCCATGTATTTCTTAATCTCTTCCGTCAGAGATACGGCCCGCAATCACCTGCAGGCTATTTAGACTGTACGGAAGAGTCGGCATTCCTGTAACCAGGGTAGCCTATGGTTTTCAGTCTAGGTGTATACTCCCGTACACATCCTCAGGAAAAGGGGGTATTCTGGGAATCGAACCCAGTATCTTCCGCTATCGAGCGAACGTGTTACCCTTTACACCATCCAGCCCTTTTTCCCTTGTATATTAAACTATTAGCTTGGTTTTTTCTTTGGACAATCCGACTTTACTCTTATACGATAACTCCATTACAGAATTAATAAGAGGCCGTGTGGTCTAGTAGTATGATACTCGCTTTGGGTTTAAATTGCGAGTGGTCCAGGGTTCAATTCCCTGCTCGGCCCTTTTAATTTTTTTTAAATTTTTGAAACACTTCTGTATGTTTTACTTTTCTCTATCAACAGGTCAAGTCCAGAAATACCCAATATCTAAATCTCAGTACTAACAATTGTTGAATTGTAATTTGATTTAAGGACCTGGGCGGTCAACTCTTTAATTACTTTCTGTTCAATTTTATAAGCTACCAGACAAACGAGAATGTTGAGTGGTGATATGTTATATTCCATGATACTATGGGCAATTTCAACATTATCTCGTAATAATATTTTTCCATTAAACTCTTTACATTGTTACATTATTTACTAGCAACTACGAGCTTTTTTTTTTGATTACAAAGGTAATAATTGTATCAATTAAGAATTTCTACCGCTAAAAAAATCACCACAATATAGGGAGTTGTACTAGCGACCAAACTCTTAGTGCTGACTGACTAGGCTCCTTCATAGACACCATCAGTGTTTCCATAGGTTGACATAGTGAGGGAAAGACTAACAATACGTTAAAAAACCAAAGTTAATGAATAAATACGATTGATAAGCTGAAAGCTGAGAGATTATTTAATAAAAACAGTTTAGCTTAAATTTAGAGAAGGAGAAAAAGGAGGAAGAAAGGTTTCAGTAACGAAGAAGAAAATTTAAAGGAGCATCGAGGCAAATTTTCTTTAGCAGTAGAAAATCTTAATTGACACAATTATTACCTTTGTAATCAAGAAGAGCTCGTAGTTGCTAGTAAATAATGTAACAATGTAAAGATTGTAATGGAAAAAGATTATTATGAGATAATGCTGAAATAGCCCATAGTACCATAGGATATATTCCAACAAAAAGAAATACGTGATGATACCATTCCATATATTCCAACAGCTCCCCTCTTTGTAAAATTATTGCAAAAAAAATTGAAATGGGCCAAAAACTTCTAGTCAATAATAGATTAATATGGTGAATGAAATTTGAAAAAAACAAAAAAAAATAATGACAACTGTGGGATTTGAACCCACGCCTCTAACGAGATCCGAAAACACCGTTTTCAGTGAAGTTAACACTTGAGTCGGACGCCTTAGACCAACTCGGCCAAATTGTCACAATAGTTACTGTTTGTAAAAGATCAACATGCGATCGATCGACCGGATAAACTAACATACAAGCGATCAACCGGATAAAAGAAACAAGCAATCAAGCGATCGAGATAAATAACTATAAACACTTTAAAGAACAAATATGCAATCGATCGAGATAATAATTATCGATAAATATTTGAGGATAAATACATTAATTTAGATTAAAGATTAAGAAGCGATTAAGAAGGAATTATTAAAGAGAATCGCTTGAATATATATAGTCATATATTTCCATAAGTTTTATCGGTATCTAAAAAGATATTTACATCAATACAATAAGTTTTATATTAAACTATTAGCTTGGTTCTTTCTTTGGACAATCCGACTTTACTCTCATACGATAACTCCATTACAATTTGGTAGCGATTTTTCTTTATTATTTTATTACTCTCTTCAATTTATTCAATTTTATTCTCATTATTTATTCATCAACAATGTCTGGCCCTAACACTACTTTCTCTGCTCCTAACGATTCTCGTTTTGCTAAAACTGAACTTGGTGCCAATTTCCGCTCCAACAAACCTGCTCCCTATGCTGGAATTGAGGGTTCCTATGGCTCTCTTGATCAACGTTATGTCGCGAGGCATTTCTTACAGCGCTTTGAGTCTTACATGCTTACCACCAACGTTGGTCCTGGTGACTGGCCTCGTTGTATCGTTAACTTCCTTCAAGGCGAGATCTTCCACTACGCTGAAGCTTGGCAGAAGAACGTTGAGAACTTTGGTAAAACTTGGGATCAGTATAAACGAGAGTTCCTTGCTCGTGAACATCCACCCAATTTCCGTCATCAAGTTGTTACCCAGCTTCGTCAGGCTGCTATGAAACGTCTTTCCGTCGAAGATTTTGATGCTTATGTTAAAATTTTTCGCACTTGCCGTGGTATTCTGGACCCTAGAGAAGATGATATCCTTGATTTGGGTTCTGAAGAAGCCGTTAATGAATTTGTCCAAGGTCTTCACCCTTCAATTTATCAAGAATGGTACACCACTTGCTTAATGGATCTTGGAGATAGAACTCACATTCGTGAACGTCTTGATATCACCATGGAGGTTTGCCGCAACCATACTAGATCTTTGATGGCGCGCGCTAACCCTACCAAACCTATTACGAGTGCTACTGATTTTGCCGCCCTCGCTAGTTTGGATTACTATCCTGATGCGAAGTCTGATATTGTTGCTCCTGGTATTATCCCGAATGTTGTCAAGAAATCTGCAAACCCCTATCAACAGGCTGCTTTCGCCGATGATCCTATGGATATTGATGCCATCAACGTCAGTCCTAATGGAAATCCCGCAGATACAAATACAACAATTTTTCGGACGTCAAAAGAAATTTTTCAAACAACAACTATTCTAATCGCAATTACTCTAATCGTGGATCCAACAACTTTAACCGCAACAGTGGACAACGTCAATCTCCTGGACGTTCAGCCCGTCCTACCCGCAACAACAAGAGTCCTGTTAACAGTAACATCAGATGTTATAATTGTGGCAAACTTGGTCACAAGATGGTTGACTGCCGCTCAAAAAACGGCCTCTACCACGCCTAGAGGACGTGCGTGGTTATGGCAATAGAAAGTTCTCAAACCCTAAGACTCAGGTCTTCACTTGGCCCACGGTGATGGAAGCCGAGGAAGGGGACGCTGGTATGGAAACAGTTAATCATGGAGACGGTTTTGATGAGAGAATGAGGTCAACAATTAATCACGAAGGCAATGTCAAGGCCTATGAAGAAGAGAGAGAAGTTATCGTGGTTCCAAGTAAAAATCTGCACTTGGATAAAGGAAGAGAGAGAGAAAAGAGAAGGCAGTTTGAGTTAAACACCGAGTCGTTAAATAAAGGTGTCCATGTCAAACAACCCGAGGTTGCTAAAGCTGAGCATGCAGTTCCAATAATCAAAGAAGCCTCCCGGGTGCCTGTGCAAACCCATAGCTCAGTTTGTTGAACTGTGACACGGGAAGTCATGATAATAATAGAAAATATTATCCAAGAAAAGTATATATTGAAATATATAAGATAAAACAGTTATATAAGAAGAAAGAAAAAGGAAAAGAAAAATTATAAAAGTTGGGGAAGAAACCTTCCTTAAATATCCAAGGGAAAGAAAAATTTGCAGTGGTGAAAATTTTTTCATTTAGGTTGTCCCAAAGTTGAGTGGGTTTGTATTACACTTCAACTTTGTAACAAATTAAGGAGGGTAACCACAGTCACATAAGGGCTTAAACCTCATGCGGCTGTAACTAAAATAAACATAGGTTATCAACCATAGTTTCCCACCCAAACTCACGTGCATTATCAACTGCACTAGTCTGCGACAACATTGCATGCTCAACATTTTGTTGCTAGTGAACTTTATCATGATGTTGTACTTGGTGTTCCTTTTATCAAAAATTTTTGGCAATTCATAGATTGGGAGTCTGATACTTTTAACAACATTGAGTCTATCACACCATCCGAGCTTTATGCTAACAAAGTTCAATTCGGTCGTCTTGCAAAATCTAAGGATAATTCCTTAGGTGTTTGTGTCATCAGAATGGAAAACGAACCTGGAGGGGAGGAAGGAGTATTACCAAAACAATTTTCGGAATTTAGTGATGTCGTAACAAACGACCCACCGGATAAACTACCACCACAAAAAGATATCTCACATCGAATTGATACCATTCCCACAGCAAAAATCCCAGCAAAGCCACCATATCGTCTTTCACAACAAGAGAATAAAATTCTTACAACAGAAATCGAAAAACTCATCAAAACTGAATTTATTCGCCCATCGTAATCACCCTACAGTGCTCCTGTTCTTTTTGTCAAAAAGAAAGATGGTTCCATGCGTATGTGTATCGACTACCGTATGCTCAAAAACATTACCATCAAGAACCGTTACCCATTACCCAACATTGTGTTGAACTGTGACACGGGAAGTCATGATAATAATAGAAAATATTATCCAAGAAAAGTATATATTGAAATATATAAGATAAAACAGTTGTATAAGAAGAAAGAAAAAGGAAAAGAAAAATTATAAAAGTTTGGGAAGAAACCTTCCTTAAATATCCAAGGGAAAGAAAAATTTGCAGTGGTGAAAATTTTTCATTTGGGTTTGTCCCAAAGTTGAGTGGGTTTGTATTACACTTCAACTTTGTAACAAATTAAGGAGGGTAACCACAGTCACATAAGGGCTTAAACCTAATGCGGCTAAAACTAAAATAAACATAGATTGTCAACCATAGTTTCCCACCCAAACTCACGTGCATTATCAACTGCACTAGTCTGCGACAACATTGCATGCTCAACACAGTTGGGTCTACCGGTATTAGTGATGAAGCTACCTGCGCGCCGCGTGAGAAGAGTCTCCGCCAGTATATCGATATTGAGGATAACAGTTCCTCCAGTGAAGAATCGTCCTTGTCGTCCGACGATTACAACAACATTGACAACAACATTGACAACAACATCGACAACAACATCGACAACAACATTGACAACAACAATAACAACAAAGATATGTCAATGCCCACTTTTGATCAAAACATTGAAGACGCTTCTGAAATTGATTTAGCCGAGCAGATGCGCAAACTAGATGTCCAAACCACACCAATCATGGGACATTCTACACCCCGCAATGAGCTTTCGTTTGATCATTCAGTAGGGATCGGCCGCCCTATGCGTCAAATCAACACTATCGAACCAATGGAAATTTTACAACGTATTCCAACAAATTTTCATAAACAACCTGTTCTTTCAGATCTCAACTCTGTTAGTCCACAACAAAACCCTGAAGATTACAATCTTGATTCCGTCAGCATGAGTGTTGACGATGAGCTGTCCACATCAGCTAAACCCCCTGAAGCTAATATTCTTGATGCTTCTATTACTCGTGACCCTAATGAGATGGATATAAGTATGAAGTCCACCACTCTGGACTCTGATGAGATGGAAATAAGTATCAACGCTATTCACATTAACACCACCGATGATTACATTGCAACAACACCTCCACACAACAACTTTACTGGTAAATCATTTATTGCTGCTACTCAAGAAGACATCAACACTAAAGATCCTTTAGTGCTCAACAAAATTATTTTGCCCGCTTATCTTCAATTCCCAGATCAACAAATTTTTACACCTGCCCTAGTGGATTCTGGCGCTCCCGCACTTTTTGTCAAACTGGAAACAATCCAAAAAGCCAATCTGGATCACCTCTGTCAACCTTGCATCAAGCAACGGTTAGCCAACACTGCAATTGGTCCTGAAACTTCACGTCTTACTCACAAAATTTTGCTTACTATTGTTATTGGTGACATTTCTGTTACTGATATGTTTTTTGTGTTGAACTGTGACACGGGAAGTCATGATAATAATAGAAAATATTATCCAAGAAAAGTATATATTGAAATATATAAGATAAAACAGTTATATAAGAAGAAAGAAAAAGGAAAAGAAAAATTATAAAAGTTGGGGAAGAAACCTTCCTTAAATATCCAAGGGAAAGAAAAATTTGCAGTGGTGAAAATTTTTCATTTGGGTTTGTCCCAAAGTTGAGTGGGTTTGTATTACACTTCAACTTTGTAACAAATTAAGGAGGGTAACCACAGTCACATAAGGGCTTAAACCTCATGCGGCTGTAACTAAAATAAACATAGGTTATCAACCATAGTTTCCCACCCAAACTCACGTGCATTATCAACTGCACTAGTCTGCGACAACATTGCATGCTCAACATTTTGTTGCTAGTGAACTTTATCATGATGTTGTACTTGGTGTTCCTTTTATCAAAAATTTTTGGCAATTCATAGATTGGGAGTCTGATACTTTTAACAACATTGAGTCTATCACACCATCCGAGCTTTATGCTAACAAAGTTCAATTCGGTCGTCTTGCAAAATCTAAGGATAATTCCTTAGGTGTTTGTGTCATCAGAATGGAAAACGAACCTGGAGGGGAGGAAGGAGTATTACCAAAACAATTTTCGGAATTTAGTGATGTCGTAACAAACGACCCACCGGATAAACTACCACCACAAAAAGATATCTCACATCGAATTGATACCATTCCCACAGCAAAAATCCCAGCAAAGCCACCATATCGTCTTTCACAACAAGAGAATAAAATTCTTACAACAGAAATCGAAAAACTCATCAAAACTGAATTTATTCGCCCATCGTAATCACCCTACAGTGCTCCTGTTCTTTTTGTCAAAAAGAAAGATGGTTCCATGCGTATGTGTATCGACTACCGTATGCTCAAAAACATTACCATCAAGAACCGTTACCCATTACCCAACATTGTGTTGAACTGTGACACGGGAAGTCATGATAATAATAGAAAATATTATCCAAGAAAAGTATATATTGAAATATATAAGATAAAACAGTTGTATAAGAAGAAAGAAAAAGGAAAAGAAAAATTATAAAAGTTTGGGAAGAAACCTTCCTTAAATATCCAAGGGAAAGAAAAATTTGCAGTGGTGAAAATTTTTCATTTGGGTTTGTCCCAAAGTTGAGTGGGTTTGTATTACACTTCAACTTTGTAACAAATTAAGGAGGGTAACCACAGTCACATAAGGGCTTAAACCTAATGCGGCTAAAACTAAAATAAACATAGATTGTCAACCATAGTTTCCCACCCAAACTCACGTGCATTATCAACTGCACTAGTCTGCGACAACATTGCATGCTCAACACATTGATGACATTCTCAATCAACTACATGGTGCAAAGTTTTTCAGCAAACTTGATCTTCGCTCTGGTTATCATCAAATTCGTGTTTTTGATGACCACATTCATAAGACCGCTTTTTCAACAAACAATGGTCATTGGGAATTTTTAGTCATGCCTTTTGGACTAACCAATGCTCCTGCTACTTTTCAGAATTACATGAACGACATTTTTCGTCCTTATCTCAACCAATTTGTCGTCGTTTACCTGGACGATATTCTCATTTATTCTGAGTCTAATGAAGAACATGAGAAACATGTCAGAATTGTCCTAGAACTACTTCGATCTAATCAATTAGTTGCTAGTTTAAAGAAGTGTGCTTTCTTTCGTGAATCACTTGAGTTTCTTGGTTTCCAAGTATCTACTAAAGGTATCTTGCCTACGGATTGTTGAGCATGCAATGTTGTCGCAGACTAGTGCAGTTGATAATGCACGTGAGTTTGGGTGGGAAACTATGGTTGATAACCTATGTTTATTTTAGTTTTAGCCGCATTAGGTTTAAGCCCTTATGTGACTGTGGTTACCCTCCTTAATTTGTTACAAAGTTGAAGTGTAATACAAACCCACTCAACTTTGGGACAAACTGTTGGAATATATGTCATGGTACTATCGTGTATTTCAACATTATCCCATAATATTTTTTTTCCCAATTACACTCTTTACATTGTTACATTATTCACTAGCAACTACTAGCCCATTACCATTGGAGTTACAATAATTGTTACAATCAAGACTCCCTATTGCTAAAGAAAATTTTCAAGATGCTCTTTTAAATTTTCTTCATTACAGAAACCTTTCTTGTTTTCTTTCTCTTCTTTTTCTCGCTACTCTAAATTTACGCAAAACTGTTTTTTATTAAATACTCTTTCAGCTTTCAGCTTATCAATCGTATTTACTTATTAACTCTTGCTTTTAGGTATGATAGCGAACTTTTATTATTTTATTATTTTATTATTTTATTATTTTATTATTTTATTATTTTATTATTTTATTATTTTTATCATTTTATATAATTCTTATATATACTCTAAATTTACGCAAAACTGTTTTTTATTAAATACTCTTTCAGCTTTCAGCTTATCAATCGTATTTACTTATTAACTCTTGCTTTTAGTCTTCTCCGCTATGTCTAATCACGGAAACACTACAGGAGTCAATGAAGGACCCTCATCCTTCGAGTCAGCCAGCACTGGAAGTTCTGTTGCCCACTCAACATCTGAGACCCATTCAAAGAACAACGCCAGCTCTTATGAGACATTCGCCGATCTCCCTGTTCATCGTCAAATTGATCTCGCTGACCGTTCTGGATTTACCGTTAGACAATTAACCATTGCCAACATACCAGTTTGTTCCGAAGGATGTGAAGCTGAATTAAAAGTCTTAGCATGTTGGAATATATGTCATGGTACTATCGTGTATTTCAACATTATCCCATAATATTTTTTTTCCCAATTACACTCTTTACATTGTTACATTATTCACTAGCAACTACTAGCCCATTACCATTGGAGTTACAATAATTGTTACAATCAAGACTCCCTATTGCTAAAGAAAATTTTTCAAGATGCTCTTTTAAATTTTCTTCATTACAGAAACCTTTCTTGTTTTCTTTCTCTTCTTTTTCTCGCTACTCTAAATTTACGCAAAACTGTTTTTATTAAATACTCTTTCAGCTTTCAGCTTATCAATCGTATTTACTTATTAACTCTTGCTTTTAGGTATGATAGCGAACTTTTATTATTTTATTATTTTATTATTTTTATCATTTTATATAATTCTTATATATACTCTAAATTTACGCAAAACTGTTTTTATTAAATACTCTTTCAGCTTTCAGCTTATCAATCGTATTTACTTATTAACTCTTGCTTTTAGTCTTCTCCGCTATGTCTAATCACGGAAACACTACAGGAGTCAATGAAGGACCCTCATCCTTCGAGTCAGCCAGCACTGGAAGTTCTGTTGCCCACTCAACATCTGAGACCCATTCAAAGAACAACGCCAGCTCTTATGAGACATTCGCCGATCTCCCTGTTCATCGTCAAATTGATCTCGCTGACCGTTCTGGATTTACCGTTAGACAATTAACCATTGCCAACGTGCCAGTTTGTTCCGAAGGATGTGAAGCTGAATTAAAAGTCTTAGCAGACTTGACAGCTTACATTAGAAACTCAAACTTCAAAGCTAGTCCTCCCCCATCTCAAAAGGTTATGAGCTCCTTTGACGCTTCTCAAGCGCCAAATTTCAAACAATTTCTCTACAAAAGTGAATTGGATTTTTGGATATACGGTCTTATTGGGCAAATTAACAGCTGCGGCTGGAGTTTTTGGAACAACTATATCTATAAGCCAATTGTTGGCCATACTGCCCTTCAGCTTGGTTACGGTATCAGGTTTGAGAGGGCCCTTGATGAACTACTCAAGGCTTACATTTTAAAAACCACGCCTGCAGCTAACCTGGCTGCAGCTGAACAGGCCCGGTGGGACACGTCGCCCGAGTTTCTAAAAACTCCACCTATGGATTCGGCGTCTGTGCGGGAAGAAGCCATGGGGGTCCTATTTGAACCAGGAAAAAGAATGGCCCGTATAGATCCCGAAATCCTAGAGCCCGCCGACCTGGGGCGAGTGCTCTCATTTTACCAACGTCTTAATCATATTGGTTTGCGCATATCCCCAAGCCCTGAGCTTAACATTGTATTTGCGATGACGCAAGCTATCTCAGTAGGAGTTCCAGGTCCTAGTTATTTCTCCGGGCTCACCAGCAGTGAAATTGAAACCAAAATACAAGCTACTGTTACTGAAGCTTCCAAGTGGGCCTCTGTAGTGGAGCAATATTTCTTTAACAACCCGGATGGCACCTTTCACCGTGACCTTATCTTAGCAGTACTGAATAACAACAAGGTTTCAGCAGCTGCTCGCGAAGATCCTCAGAGTCATCTCTGGGGGATTACCAAGTTTGTCGACATTTTCAAGTCAAGATCTGGAGGATGGAGCCCCTGTGATTCAGTTGAAATCCCAGCGCTAGTTGAAGCAACTTCAGCAGCCTTCGTAAAAGGTCGAAGAATTATTGACGGTTCAACAAAAGTGGTGCCAAAGCAGGAACCCAAGCAAGAACCCAAGCAGGAATCCAAGCAGGAAACCTCGAAGAAAGCTGGCCACTCTGATACCAAGCAAGGAAAAGGGAAGCAGTGGTCCAAGGGGTCCGGTAGCAACAAGAGGCGCAACAATGAAGACAAGCAAGCTAGAAAGTCGAACTCTGATGGTCAAAACAGAGTTGCTGCCTTGAAAGCTACCGAATATCTTGAGGTGGCTCGCGACGATGTTGAAACTCTTTGCTCTGTTGCTCGGGCCATCCAAGACGTATTTGATAATGACGGCGGAAGCAGTGATTATTCGCCAGTTGCTTTTCTTCCACCTGCCAACCAAATCGCCTCTGTGGGTGAAACAAATCTTCCAAATGTTCTTGATTCTGGAAATGCTACTGGTCATCTTATCTCAGACAACAGTTACTTTGTGTCGTATGAGAAATACAGCAGCCCCAAAACTATCAGCTCCTATGGTGGTTCCGACATCGTGTTAGAAGGGGAAGGTAAAATTGCTGTTGTATTAAAAGGTGACGGTGGCACCAATATTTGCCATATTGCTGACGCACTTTATTTTCCTGCTGGGTCTAGCAATTTGTTTTCTGATTCTGTCTGGCGCACGCACGATGTTTCTTTTCATACGGTCCCAAGTGGGGACTGTCTGGCCTATTTTGGTGAGGAAAGGTTGGTAGGGTTGGTGGTGCCAGAGATGCCAAGTCTCACATTTGTGCCAACATTGTTCCGGTAAAGTTTACTAGGAATATCGTACCTCCAACTGGCTCCTTCAAGTTCTCAGGAAATTCAATTGACTGGGATCAGATTTGCAGACAAGGACCAGAAGCTATGAGGAAGGTTGATAAATCAGCTCTCGCTGTTGGAAAGGGACTTCCTGTCCTTTCACCGTCTCTCAAATTTATTGCAAAGGAGGCCGTGTTGAATTCGCAGGCACTTGACTGTCATGTTCGGTTTGCTCATTGCTCTTTGACTTCGGTGAAGCATTTAGCCAAGCTTGCTGATCCTCCCTTTGAGGTGACCAAGCGTGACGAAGAGTTGATCAAGGACTGTGTCATATGTGGCACGTCAAGAAGCATTAAGCGGTTCACTTCTCCGGATAAGCATATAGCTTCTGAATCCACGGCTCCGTTAGCCCAGATTCATGCTGATCTCGTCGGTCCCATAGGTCCTGCCTCTTCAAGGGCCAGGTACATGCTGAATATCATTGATGCATTTTCTGGTTACATCTATGCTTTTGCTCTGGAATCTAAGGATGAAGCTCCTGGGAAACTTATCCAGTTCTTTAAGCAGTTTGTGCCCAAAGCTGCTCGCCGTGCTGCTGACGGCAAGGCCACCAAGCTTATTACTGACAATGGTGGTGAATTTATCTCTGGCACACTTGGAAAATTTTTGGCAGATTGGGGCGTCATTCATATTTTAACTGCTCCTGATGAACACCAACAAAATGGAAAAATTGAGCGTGCCCACCGCACACTTCGTGAGATATCTACTAGAGCCTTGATGCAGTCGACACTCTGGGCCAATATCTACTGGGACTCTGCCTGGCTCTACGCTGTGCAGGTATATAATTTCTCCATAGTTAATAAAGCCGGTATATCACCTTATGAAGCCTTTACGGGCAGAAAACCACCTATAGCACTAGTGCACACATTTGGCTGCCTAGTTTTTGTCATTAAATCTGAGTCTCAGAAACTCAAAGGGACCCTTCAGCCTCGGGGCGAGCCTGCTCTGTATTTGGGTCCCGACCCGTTAAATCCTAAGAATTTTCTATGCATTACGAGGAACAAGCGCATTCGGCGCTGTGTACACGGCAACTTTCGTGACCATGTCTTGCCTGGCGTTAAATTTTTTGGCGAAAAGCCAATTTACGAGGGTGACATTCTCATTGACTACAGTGAGGTTGGAAATCGTGACCCTGACTACAGTGACTCCTCCACTGATGAATCAGAAAGTGAAGATGAATCTGACTCTGACGACTACTCTCCCACTTCACTCTCTGGTGGTGGTGGTGGTTTTTGGGATGGGGGAGGACTAGCTTTGAAGTTTGAGTTTCTAATGTAAGCTGTCAAGTCTGCTAAGACTTTTAATTCAGCTTCACATCCTTCGGAACAAACTGGTATGTTGGCAATGGTTAATTGTCTAACGGTAAATCCAGAACGGTCAGCGAGATCAATTTGACGATGAACAGGGAGATCGGCGAATGTCTCATAAGAGCTGGCGTTGTTCTTTGAATGGGTCTCAGATGTTGAGTGGGCAACAGAACTTCCAGTGCTGGCTGACTCGAAGGATGAGGGTCCTTCATTGACTCCTGTAGTGTTTCCGTGATTAGACATAGCGGAGAAGACTAAAAGCAAGAGTTAATAAGTAAATACGATTGATAAGCTGAAAGCTGAAAGAGTATTTAATAAAAACAGTTTTGCGTAAATTTAGAGTATATATAAGAATTATATAAATGATAAAAATAATAAAATAATAAAATAATAAAAGTTCGCTATCATACCTAAAAGCAAGAGTTAATAAGTAAATACGATTGATAAGCTGAAAGCTGAAAGAGTATTTAATAAAAACAGTTTTGCGTAAATTTAGAGTAGCGAGAAAAAGAAGAGAAAGAAAACAAGAAAGGTTTCTGTAATGAAGAAAATTTAAAAGAGCATCTTGAAAATTTTCTTTAGCAATAGGGAGTCTTGATTGTAACAATTATTGTAACTCCAATGGTAATGGGCTAGTAGTTGCTAGTGAATAATGTAACAATGTAGAGAGTGTAATTGGGAAAAAAAAATATTATGGGATAATGTTGAAATACACGATAGTACCATGACATATATTCCAACAGCCCCCCTGCAACAATAGCCCGTTATCAAGATTCAATCTCTTGATCTTTGCGTCGTCGAGTCTTCAAAAAATGACTGCGGTGTAACGATGGAGGTATTATTTGACGAGACGAGCACTGCATCAAGTCCATTTCCCCCCTCAACTTGAGGACGGGTACTCATACCCAGAAGATTCCTCAAATATAAAAACTGCGGCTTAGCCAGAGCTTTGGTAAAAATGTCTGCCACATTATCTGCTGAAGCAACAGCTTCAAGACGGGTATCGCCGGCTTTGACATGGTCTCTGGTGCGCATGTACTTGGTATCAATATGTTTAGTCCGCTCGTGATGTTTGCTGTCCTTCATGAGATCCAGGACACCTTTGTTGTCCTCCATGATGACAGTCGTTGGTTGAGATTCACCAAGTTCTTCCAAAAGATCTCGGAAGTAAACTGCCTCACACGTGGCAGAAAAAGCGGCAATCAGCTCAGCCTCGGTTGTGGAAGTTGCTGTCAGCTTCTGTTTGGCCGACTTCCAAGAGAAGGTTGAAGGACCGTGAGAGAATGCAAAGCCTGAGATAGACTTCCTGTCAGGATCGTTTGCCCAATCGGCATCTGACCAGCCTCTCAGAAGCCGCGGAGAGGCCCCTGGTACATTTTTGTGATAGACAATTGCCAGGTCCTTGGTGCCTTTGAGGTAGCTCAGAACATGATAAGCTCTATCCATATGAATGGCTCTAGGGTCACTCGAATACTGAGCAAGCTTGCCTGTAGCATAGGCAATGTCTGGACGAGCCGTCTGAGCAGCAAACTGTAGCTTGCCAAGAATGCTGCGATATAGCGATTGGTTAGCTGGACGAGCATCGAGGCCCCTGGGAAAATCAAGGCCATGTTTCTTGGGCAACGGTATCGACTTAGCTGTTTGATCACCCAATTTGAAAACCTCAATCATGTCAGCAATATAGTGTTCCAGATCCAGAGATATCGTCCTGTCGGAGTCTTGGACTCTGATTCCCAAGAATTTGTTAACACCACCTTCATCTTTGATGGCAAAGTAACCAGATAGGCCCTTGAAAAACCGCTCGAATTCTCCCGGTACGTTTGACGCCGTTAAGATGTCGTCAACATAAAGACCTATAATACTGAAGTCTTTGCCATTAATCTTGTAAAAGAGACAGGGTTCTTTCTTGGCAGCTTTGTAACCTAGAGCTTCCAACTTGTCAACAAGCTTTTGTTCCAACACAGAGGGGCTTGCTTCAGTCCATATAAGCTTTTATTCAGCTTCCAGACCATGCCAGGAGGGGTATTATGGTCAATTCCTGTTGGTGGCTTGACATAGATGTCTTCTTCTAGATCTCCATTCAAGAAAGCATTTTTAACATCGACGTGGTGCATTTCGCAGTTCTTCGCCGCACTCTCAGGGCGAAAATGAGACGAACAGTGCTGAATCTCATTACCGGTGCAAAGGTGTCAACATAGTCAACACCAAACTTTTTGACGAAACCCCTGAACAACAAGACGAGCCTTGTACTTGTCAATTGAACCATCCGTGTTGAGTTTCTTCTTCAGCACCCATTTGGTGCCAAGTGCTTTGCGACCCGCCGGGAGGGGCACAACTTGGTATACATGATTGCCATCAATGGCAGCAAATTCCGAATAGGCCGCATCGAACCAGAAGCGCTTATCTTCTCTGTTGTTGGCTTCCGCAAGTGACCGTGGGTCCCTTTTTAGCTTCTTGCCAGGGTCGAGCAGCGCCACTCCCACATTCGGAAATCGAATGAAGGCAGGACGGTCCTTAAGATCTGCCCAATCTCTGTCGCTGATAAGAGCTCTAACATTCTCCACATCAGGAGCCGTAAAGCAGAGACCTGGTTTGCTAGATTCTAACACTTTGATGTCATTCCTCAAAATTGGAAGCTTAATGTTAATAGCGTTGAGTGTGTCAAGTCTTCCAGACGCCATGCGGGCTTTCACAGTTGGTTCTTCAGAGTTCGAGTAGATGCAGCCAATGCCAATGACATCGTCGACAGCCCCGGCAGACGGATCTCCTGATGGGCTTGCCGATTCATCAACAAAAATAATTTCATCATCAGCAGGCGAAGAAACAAAAGTTTCATGTAAGAAGTCAATGCCGTCAGCTAAGTGTTCTGATGAGCCCTGAGAGTCAGAATTGTAGGGTGCTGCAATTGAGATTTCATCGCTTGTAGCCTCAACATCAGCTTCGGTTGTGGAGGCGGGAGAGTGGGACTGCGAGTCAGTGCTAACGACTGAGTCCTCATCTACTGATGCTGACGTAGCAGGGACATTGTGTGTTGCCGAGTGAGTGTGAGAAAGAAAGGGAACTGCATCGGGAGTGGGGTTGAATCTAAGATCCGGTGTACCCTGGAGGTGGCCGTGTGGGGCTCTCAGTGTTGAACCCTCACGAGCTGGCAGACCATGCAGCAGTGACCTAGATTCCGAGTCCAAAGCTGACTCAGAGTTCGAGAGTTTCAGTTTGTCACTGTGCCGGTCGGAAGAGCGAGAGCCCCAAAGTAAGCCCGATGCTGTAGTGGTTGGGCTTGTAGAGCGATTTCTTTTTCGCAGATTTCTTAAAGCTCCTAAGTCGATTCTTGAGATGGCCTCAGCTGCACTGCGTAAGATATTGCGTTGTGCTATCGACAGCATGCGATTCGATGACGAGGGAGGAGTGGTTTGGTGATCACGACGAGAAGAAGAACTTTCTAATGTGGGAGACGTCACAGCAGAGGAGGTTGGTGATGTAACTTTTGAGATGGGGGAGGACTAGCTTTGAAGTTTGAGTTTCTAATGTAAGCTGTCAAGTCTGCTAAGACTTTTAATTCAGCTTCACATCCTTCGGAACAAACTGGTATGTTGGCAATGGTTAATTGTCTAACGGTAAATCCAGAACGGTCAGCGAGATCAATTTGACGATGAACAGGGAGATCGGCGAATGTCTCATAAGAGCTGGCGTTGTTCTTTGAATGGGTCTCAGATGTTGAGTGGGCAACAGAACTTCCAGTGCTGGCTGACTCGAAGGATGAGGGTCCTTCATTGACTCCTGTAGTGTTTCCGTGATTAGACATAGCGGAGAAGACTAAAAGCAAGAGTTAATAAGTAAATACGATTGATAAGCTGAAAGCTGAAGGAGTATTTAATAAAAACAGTTTTGCGTAAATTTAGAGTATATATAAGAATTATATAAATGATAAAAATAATAAAATAATAAAATAATAAAAGTTCGCTATCATACCTAAAAGCAAGAGTTAATAAGTAAATACGATTGATAAGCTGAAAGCTGAAGGAGTATTTAATAAAAACAGTTTTGCGTAAATTTAGAGTAGCGAGAAAAAGAAGAGAAAGAAAACAAGAAAGGTTTCTGTAATGAAGAAAATTTAAAAGAGCATCTTGAAAAATTTTCTTTAGCAATAGGGAGTCTTGATTGTAACAATTATTGTAACTCCAATGGTAATGGGCTAGTAGTTGCTAGTGAATAATGTAACAATGTAAAGAGTGTAATTGGGAAAAAAAAATATTATGGGATAATGTTGAAATACACGATAGTACCATGACATATATTCCAACAAGCGCCGAATGCGCTTGTTCCTCGTAATGCATAGAAAATTCTTAGGATTTAACGGGTCGGGACCCAAATACAGAGCAGGCTCGCCCCGAGGCTGAAGGGTCCCTTTGAGTTTCTGAGACTCAGATTTAATGACAAAAACTAGGCAGCCAAATGTGTGCACTAGTGCTATAGGTGGTTTTCTGCCCGTAAAGGCTTCATAAGGTGAGATACCGGCTTTATTAACTATGGAGAAATTATATACCTGCACAGCGTAGAGCCAGGCAGAGTCCCAGTAGATATTGGCCCAGAGTGTCGACTGCATCAAGGCTCTAGTAGATATCTCACGCAGTGTGCGGTGGGCACGCTCAATTTTCCCATTTTGTTGGTGTTCATCAGGAGCAGTTAAAATATGAATGACGCCCCAGTCTGCTAAAAATTTTCCAAGTGTCCCAGAGATAAATTCACCACCATTGTCAGTAATAAGCTTGGTGGCCTTGCCGTCAACAGCACGGCGAGCAGCTTTGGGCACAAACTGCTTAAAGAACTGGATAAGTTTCCCAGGAGCTTCATCCTTAGATTCCAGAGCAAAAGCATAGATGTAACCAGAAAATGCATCAATGATATTCAGCATGTACCTGGCCCCTGAAGAGGCAGGACCTATGGGACCGACGAGATCAGCATGAATCTGGGCTAACGGAGCCGTGGATTCAGAAGCTATATGCTTATCCGGAGAAGTGAACCGCTTAATGCTTCTTGACGTGCCACATATGACACAGTCCTTGATCAATTCTTCGTCACGCTTGGTCACCTCAAAGGGAGGATCAGCAAGCTTGGCTAAATGTTTCACCGAAGTCAAAGAGCAATGAGCAAAACGAACATGACAGTCAAGTGCCTGCGAATTCAACACGGCCTCCTTTGCAATAAATTTGAGAGACGGTGAAAGGACAGGAAGTCCCTTTCCAACAGCGAGAGCTGATTTATCAACCTTCCTCATAGCTTCTGGTCCTTGTCTGAAAATCTGATCCCAGTCAATTGAATTTCCTGAGAACTTGAAAGATCCAGTTGGAGGTACGATATTCCTAGTAAACTTTACCGGAACAATGTTGGCACAAATGTGAGACTTGGCATCTCTGGCACCGCCAACCCTACCAACCTTTTCCTCACCAAAATAGGCCAGACAATCCCCACTTGGGACCGTATGAAAAGAAACATCGTGCGTGCGCCAGACAGAATCAGAAAACAAATTGCTAGACCCAGCAGGAAAATAAAGTGCGTCAGCAATATGGCAAATATTGGTGCCACCGTCACCTTTTAATACAACAGCAATTTTACCTTCCCCTTCTAACACGATGTCGGAACCACCATAGGAGCTGATAGTTTTGGGGCTGCTGTATTTCTCATACGACACAAAGTAGCTGTTGTCTGAGATAAGGTGACCAGTAGCATTTCCAGAATCGAGAACATTTGGAAGATTTGTTTCACCCACAGAGGCGATTTGGTTGGCAGGTGGAAGAAAAGCAACTGGCGAATAATCACTGCTTCCGCCGTCATTATCAAATATGTCTTGGATAGCCCGAGCAACAGAGCAAAGAGTTTCAACATCGTCGCGAGCTGTTGGAATATATGTCATGGTACTATCGTGTATTTCAACATTATCCCATAATATTTTTTTTTCCCAATTACACTCTCTACATTGTTACATTATTCACTAGCAACTACTAGCCCATTACCATTGGAGTTACAATAATTGTTACAATCAAGACTCCCTATTGCTAAAGAAAATTTTCAAGATGCTCTTTTAAATTTTCTTCATTACAGAAACCTTTCTTGTTTTCTTTCTCTTCTTTTTCTCGCTACTCTAAATTTACGCAAAACTGTTTTTATTAAATACTCTTTCAGCTTTCAGCTTATCAATCGTATTTACTTATTAACTCTTGCTTTTAGTCTTCTCCGCTATGTCTAATCACGGAAACACTACAGGAGTCAATGAAGGACCCTCATCCTTCGAGTCAGCCAGCACTGGAAGTTCTGTTGCCCACTCAACATCTGAGACCCATTCAAAGAACAACGCCAGCTCTTATGAGACATTCGCCGATCTCCCTGTTCATCGTCAAATTGATCTCGCTGACCGTTCTGGATTTACCGTTAGACAATTAACCATTGCCAACATACCAGTTTGTTCCGAAGGATGTGAAGCTGAATTAAAAGTCTTAGCAGACTTGACAGCTTACATTAGAAACTCAAACTTCAAAGCTAGTCCTCCCCCATCTCAAAAGCAGTTCCCTTTCTTTCTCACACTCACTCGGCAACACACAATGTCCCTACTACTTCAACATCAGTGGATGAAGACTCAGTCGTTAGCACTGACTCGCCGTCCCACTCTCCCGCCTCCACACCCGAAATTGAAGTTGAGGCTACAAGCGATGAAATCTTAACCGCAGCACCCTACAATTCTGACTCCCAGGGCTCATCAGAACACTTAGCTGACGGCATTGATTTCTTACATGAAACTTTTGTTTCTTCGCCTGCTGATGATGAAATTATTTTTGTTGATGAATCGGCAAGCCCATCAGGAGATCCGTCTGCCGGGGCTGCCGACGATGTCATTGGCATTGGCTGCATCTACTCGAACTCTGAAGAACCAACTGTGAAAGCCCGCATGGCGTCTGGGAGACTTGACACACTCAACGCTATTAACATTAAGCTTCCAATTTTGAGAAATGACATCAAAGTGTCAGAATCTAGCAAACCAGGTCTCTACTTTACGGCTCCTGATGTGGAGAATGTTAGAGCTCTTATCAGCAACAGAGATTGGGCCGATCTTAAGGATCGCCCTGCCTTCATTCGATTTCCGAATGTGGGAGTGGCGCTGCTCGACCCTGGCAAGAAGCTAAAAAGGGACCCACGGTCACTTGAGGAAGCCAACAACAGAGAAGATAAGCGCTTCTGGTTTGATGCGGCCTATTCGGAATTTGCTGCCATTGATGGAAATCATGTCTACCAAGTTGTGCCCCTCCCGGCGGGTCGCAAAGCCCTTGGCACCAAATGGGTGCTGAAGAAGAAACTCAACACGGATGGTTCAATTGACAAGTACAAGGCTCGTCTTGTTGTTCAGGGGTTTCGTCAGAAGTTTGGTGTTGACTATGTTGACACCTTTGCGCCAGTGATGAGATTCAGCACTGTTCGTCTCATTTTCGCCCTAAGTGCGGCGAAGAACTGCGAGATGCACCACGTCGATGTTAAAATGCTTTCTTGAATGGAGATCTAGAAGAAGACATCTATGTCAAGCCACCAACAGGAATTGACCATAATACCCCTCCTGGCATGGTCTGGAAGCTGAATAAAAGCTTATATGGACTGAAGCAAGCCCCTCTGTGTTGGAACAAGAAGCTTGTTGACAAGTTGGAAGCACTAGGTTACAAAGCTGCCAAGAAAGAACCCTGTCTCTTTTACAAGATTAATGGCAAAGACTTCAGTATTATAGGTCTTTATGTTGACGACATCTTAACGGCGTCAAATGTACCGGGAGAATTCGAGCGTTTTTCAAGGGCCTATCTGGTTACTTTGCCATCAAAGATGAAGGTGGTGTTAACAAATTCTTGGGAATCAGAGTCCAAGACTCCGACAGGACAATATCTCTGGATCTGGAACATTATATTGCTGACATGATTGAGGTTTTCAAATTGAGTAATCAAACAGCTAAGTCGATACCGTTGCCCAAGAAACATGGCCTTGATTTCCCACAGGGCCTCGATGCTCGTCCAGCTAACCAATCGCTGTATCGCAGCATTCTTGGCAAGCTACAGTTTGCTGCACAGACGGCCCGTCCGGACATTGCCTACGCTACAGGCAAGCTTGCTCAGTATGCGAGTGACCCTAGAGCTATTCATATGGATAGAGCATATCATGTTCTGAGCTACCTCAAAGGCACCAAGGACCTGGCAATTGTCTATCACAAAAATGTACCAGGGGCCTCTCCGCGGCTTCTGAGAGGCTGGTCAGATGCCGATTGGGCAAACGATCCCGACAGGAAGTCTATCTCAGGCTTTGCATTCTCTCACGGTCCTTCAACCTTCTCTTGGAAGTCGGCCAAACAGAAGTTGACAGCAACTTCCACAACTGAGGCTGAGCTGATTGCCGCTTTCTCTGCCACGTGTGAGGCAGTTTACTTCCGAGATCTTTTGGAAGAACTTGGTGAATCTCAACCAACGACTGTCATCATGGAGGACAACAAAGGTGTCCTGGATCTCATAAAGGACAGCAAACATCACGAGCGGACTAAACATATTGATACCAAGTACATGCGCACCAGAGACCATGTCAAAGCCGGCGATACCCGTCTTGAAGCTGTTGCTTCAGCAGATAATGTGGCAGACATTTTTACCAAAGCTCTGGCTAAGCCGCAGTTTTTATATTTGAGGAATCTTCTGGGTATGAGTACCCGTCCTCAAGTTGAGGGGGGAAATGGACTTGATGCAGTGCTCGTCTCGTCAAATAATACCTCCATCGTTACGCCGCAGTCATTTTCGAAGACTCGACGACGCAAAGATCAAGAGATTGAATCTTGATAACGGGCTGTTGTTGCAGGGGGGCTGTTGGAATATATGTCATGGTACTATCGTGTATTTCAACATTATCCCATAATATTTTTTTTTTCCAATTACACTCTTTACATTGTTACATTATTCACTAGCAACTACTAGCCCATTACCATTGGAGTTACAATAATTGTTACAATCAAGACTCCCTATTGCTAAAGAAAATTTTTCAAGATGCTCTTTTAAATTTTCTTCATTACAGAAACCTTTCTTGTTTTCTTTCTCTTCTTTTCTCGCTTCTCTAAATTTACGCAAAACTGTTTTATTAAATACTCCTTCAGCTTTCAGCTTATCAATCGTATTTACTTATTAACTCTTGCTTTTAGGTATGATAGCGAACTTTTATTATTTTATTATTTTATTATTTTTATCATTTATATAATTCTTATATATACTCTAAATTTACGCAAAACTGTTTTTATTAAATACTCCTTCAGCTTTCAGCTTATCAATCGTATTTACTTATTAACTCTTGCTTTTAGTCTTCTCCGCTATGTCTAATCACGGAAACACTACAGGAGTCAATGAAGGACCCTCATCCTTCGAGTCAGCCAGCACTGGAAGTTCTGTTGCCCACTCAACATCTGAGACCCATTCAAAGAACAACGCCAGCTCTTATGAGACATTCGCCGATCTCCCTGTTCATCGTCAAATTGATCTCGCTGACCGTTCTGGATTTACCGTTAGACAATTAACCATTGCCAACATACCAGTTTGTTCCGAAGGATGTGAAGCTGAATTAAAAGTCTTAGCAGACTTGACAGCTTACATTAGAAACTCAAACTTCAAAGCTAGTCCTCCCCCATCCCAAAACTAAAGGATCTTTAGTGTTGATGTCTTCTTGAGTAGCAGCAATAAATGATTTACCAGTAAAGTTGTTGTGTGGAGGTGTTGTTGCAATGTAATCATCGGTGGTGTTAATGTGAATAGCGTTGATACTTATTTCCATCTCATCAGAGTCCAGAGTGGTGGACTTCATACTTATATCCATCTCATTAGGGTCACGAGTAATAGAAGCATCAAGAATATTAGCTTCAGGGGGTTTAGCTGATGTGGACAGCTCATCGTCAACACTCATGCTGACGGAATCAAGATTGTAATCTTCAGGGTTTTGTTGTGGACTAACAGAGTTGAGATCTGAAAGAACAGGTTGTTTATGAAAATTTGTTGGAATACGTTGTAAAATTTCCATTGGTTCGATAGTGTTGATTTGACGCATAGGGCGGCCGATCCCTACTGAATGATCAAACGAAAGCTCATTGCGGGGTGTAGAATGTCCCATGATTGGTGTGGTTTGGACATCTAGTTTGCGCATCTGCTCGGCTAAATCAATTTCAGAAGCGTCTTCAATGTTTTGATCAAAAGTGGGCATTGACATATCTTTGTTGTTATTGTTGTTGTCAATGTTGTTGTCGATGTTGTTGTCGATGTTGTTGTCAATGTTGTTGTCAATGTTGTTGTAATCGTCGGACGACAAGGACGATTCTTCACTGGAGGAACTGTTATCCTCAATATCGATATACTGGCGGAGACTCTTCTCACGCGGCGCGCAGGTAGCTTCATCACTAATACCGGTAGACCCAACTGAGCTATGGGTTTGCACAGGCACCCGGGAGGCTTCTTTGATTATTGGAACTGCATGCTCAGCTTTAGCAACCTCGGGTTGTTTGACATGGACACCTTTATTTAACGACTCGGTGTTTAACTCAAACTGCCTTCTCTTTTCTCTCTCTCTTCCTTTATCCAAGTGCAGATTTTTACTTGGAACCACGATAACTTCTCTCTCTTCTTCATAGGCCTTGACATTGCCTTCGTGATTAATTGTTGACCTCATTCTCTCATCAAAACCGTCTCCATGATTAACTGTTTCCATACCAGCGTCCCCTTCCTCGGCTTCCATCACCGTGGGCCAAGTGAAGACCTGAGTCTTAGGGTTTGAGAACTTTCTATTGCCATAACCACGCACGTCCTCTAGGCGTGGTAGAGGCCGTTTTTTGAGCGGCAGTCAACCATCTTGTGACCAAGTTTGCCACAATTATAACATCTGATGTTACTGTTAACAGGACTCTTGTTGTTGCGGGTAGGACGGGCTGAACGTCCAGGAGATTGACGTTGTCCACTGTTGCGGTTAAAGTTGTTGGATCCACGATTAGAGTAATTGCGATTAGAATAGTTGTTGTTTGAAAAATTTCTTTTGACGTCCGAAAAATTGTTGTATTTGTATCTGCGGGGATTTCCATTAGGACTGACGTTGATGGCATCAATATCCATAGGATCATCGGCGAAAGCAGCCTGTTGATAGGGGTTTGCAGATTTCTTGACAACATTCGGGATAATACCAGGAGCAACAATATCAGACTTCGCATCAGGATAGTAATCCAAACTAGCGAGGGCGGCAAAATCAGTAGCACTCGTAATAGGTTTGGTAGGGTTAGCGCGCGCCATCAAAGATCTAGTATGGTTGCGGCAAACCTCCATGGTGATATCAAGACGTTCACGAATGTGAGTTCTATCTCCAAGATCCATTAAGCAAGTGGTGTACCATTCTTGATAAATTGAAGGGTGAAGACCTTGGACAAATTCATTAACGGCTTCTTCAGAACCCAAATCAAGGATATCATCTTCTCTAGGGTCCAGAATACCACGGCAAGTGCGAAAAATTTTAACATAAGCATCAAAATCTTCGACGGAAAGACGTTTCATAGCAGCCTGACGAAGCTGGGTAACAACTTGATGACGGAAATTGGGTGGATGTTCACGAGCAAGGAACTCTCGTTTATACTGATCCCAAGTTTTACCAAAGTTCTCAACGTTCTTCTGCCAAGCTTCAGCGTAGTGGAAGATCTCGCCTTGAAGGAAGTTAACGATACAACGAGGCCAGTCACCAGGACCAACGTTGGTGGTAAGCATGTAAGACTCAAAGCGCTGTAAGAAATGCCTCGCGACATAACGTTGATCAAGAGAGCCATAGGAACCCTCAATTCCAGCATAGGGAGCAGGTTTGTTGGAGCGGAAATTGGCACCAAGTTCAGTTTTAGCAAAACGAGAATCGTTAGGAGCAGAGAAAGTAGTGTTAGGGCCAGACATTGTTGATGAATAAATAATGAGAATAAAATTGAATAAATTGAAGAGAGTAATAAAATAATAAAGAAAAATCGCTACCAAATTGTAATGGAGTTATCGTATGAGAGTAAAGTCGGATTGTCCAAAGAAAGAACCAAGCTAATAGTTTAATATAAAACTTATTGTATTGATGTAAATATCTTTTTAGATACCGATAAAACTTATGGAAATATATGACTATATATATTCAAGCGATTCTCTTTAATAATTCCTTCTTAATCGCTTCTTAATCTTTAATCTAAATTAATGTATTTATCCTCAAATATTTATCGATAATTATTATCTCGATCGATTGCATATTTGTTCTTTAAAGTGTTTATAGTTATTTATCTCGATCGCTTGATTGCTTGTTTCTTTTATCCGGTTGATCGCTTGTATGTTAGTTTATCCGGTCGATCGATCGCATGTTGATCTTTTACAAACAGTAACTATTGTGACAATTTGGCCGAGTTGGTCTAAGGCGTCCGACTCAAGTGTTAACTTCACTGAAAACGGTGTTTTCGGATCTCGTTAGAGGCGTGGGTTCAAATCCCACAGTTGTCATTATTTTTTTTTGTTTTTTTCAAATTTCATTCACCATATTAATCTATTATTGACTAGAAGTTTTTGGCCCATTTCAATTTTTTTTGCAATAATTTTACAAAGAGGGGAGCTGTTGGAATATATGGAATGGTATCATCACGTATTTCTTTTTGTTGGAATATATCCTATGGTACTATGGGCTATTTCAGCATTATCTCATAATAATCTTTTTCCATTACAATCTTTACATTGTTACATTATTTACTAGCAACTACGAGCTCTTCTTGATTACAAAGGTAATAATTGTGTCAATTAAGATTTTCTACTGCTAAAGAAAATTTGCCTCGATGCTCCTTTAAATTTTCTTCGTTACTGAAACCTTTCTTCCTCCTTTTTTCTCGCTTCTCTAAATTTAAGCTAAACTGTTTTTATTAAATAATCTCTCAGCTTTCAGCTTATCAATCGTATTTATTCATTAACTTTGGTTTTTTAACGTATTGTTAGTCTTTCCCTCACTATGTCAACCTATGGAAACACTGATGGTGTCTATGAAGGAGCCTAGTCAGTCAGCACTAAGAGTTTGGTCGCTAGTACAACTCCCTATATTGTGGTGATTTTTTTAGCGGTAGAAATTCTTAATTGATACAATTATTACCTTTGTAATCAAAAAAAAAAGCTCGTAGTTGCTAGTAAATAATGTAACAATGTAAAGAGTTTAATGGAAAAATATTATTACGAGATAATGTTGAAATTGCCCATAGTATCATGGAATATAACATATCACCACTCAACATTCTCGTTTGTCTGGTAGCTTATAAAATTGAACAGAAAGTAATTAAAGAGTTGACCGCCCAGGTCCTTAAATCAAATTACAATTCAACAATTGTTAGTACTGAGATTTAGATATTGGGTATTTCTGGACTTGACCTGTTGATAGAGAAAAGTAAAACATACAGAAGTGTTTCAAAAATTTAAAAAAAATTAAAAGGGCCGAGCAGGGAATTGAACCCTGGACCACTCGCAATTTAAACCCAAAGCGAGTATCATACTACTAGACCACACGGCCTCTTATTAATTCTGTAATGGAGTTATCGTATAAGAGTAAAGTCGGATTGTCCAAAGAAAAAACCAAGCTAATAGTTTAATATACAAGGGAAAAAGGGCTGGATGGTGTAAAGGGTAACACGTTCGCTCGATAGCGGAAGATACTGGGTTCGATTCCCAGAATACCCCCTTTTCCTGAGGATGTGTACGGGAGTATACACCTAGACTGAAAACCATAGGCTACCCTGGTTACAGGAATGCCGACTCTTCCGTACAGTCTAAATAGCCTGCAGGTGATTGCGGGCCGTATCTCTGACGGAAGAGATTAAGAAATACATGGGCGTCCGTGAAGATAAGTGGAAATGGGTTGGGAAGGTTTTGGGACCGACAGACTGGTTCTCCCTGTTCCTCGTAAGCTGGCATCAGGGCCCATCTTCCGGGCTACCGGAGACGCACAGAACAGAAACCACCTGTACTAAAAAGGTACAAATGAAAACCGGCAAGTCACATAGTCAGACAATAAAAGGATAGCGCAGATGCTGATGTTATATAGTTCTATAACCCTTGAATAAAAACAAACAAACAAACAAACAATTTAATATACAAGTATTAATGGTCATTTGTTAACATTGATTGAGAAATCTCCAATTGCAAAGCTAACCACGCTTTACATATTGGCGAAAGATGATAGAGACTACATGATTAAAAAGGATGAAAAACGAAAATGCAAGAGGGTTAAACCTCTTACACTGAAACAACAACAGAATCAGACGATTGGAATTTTGAAGAAACAAGCAATGGAAGAATGGCAAGAAATGTATTGGAACAGCAGTAAGGATCTGTGGTATCATAATATCACAGTGGAGTCGAAATGTACTGATAATCTTTCCAAAATGGTCACGGGAGTGATCATGAAGAAAGATAGTCGAAGGATCTTGAGTAATATTACTCAATTTCGCACAGGCCATGGCAACTTTGGCGCATGGTTTAAAAAGTTTGGAATTGAAAAGGATAGTTACAACTGCAAATGTGGAGAGCTGGAAACAGTTCATCACATTTTAGTTGAGTGTCCTTTGCTTGAAGAGGAAAGAAAAGGACTGAAACGGATATCTCCAGAGATGGACATGTCGACTCTCTTAAACAGTTTAACTGGCTTACAAGAGATTGTAAGCTTTATCTCTGCTTGGAGGGATTAAGAAATACAATTACAGCGTTGATGAAGACAAGTGGAGATAGGTTGGGAAGGTTTGGTTATTTTAACCCCCTGTTCCACGTAAGCTGGCATCAGGACTTATTTTCGGGCTGTTGGAGATGCAATGTTGAAGGCAAAATTAAAAGTTTATTATTAAAATGAAAAAATATATAGTATGGACAAGAAGGATAGCGCAGATGCTGATGTTATATAATTCTATAACCCTTGAATAAAAACAAACAAACATAATATACAAGTACTTTAACAACTATGGGCCCATTAAACATAAAGATTGGATCCCAATCTTTACAGAAACTGAAAAAGAAAAAAATAAATGCAGAGCAATTACTTACATTAGGTCTAACTCTGACTTACGAGCATTAACTACTAAAATTGAAAAGTTTACCAATCGAGATATGGTTACCATTTTGGTTAAAGACATTACTATTGTCAATGTCTATAATCAACCGAAACCATCCAAGAAATACCCTGAGCCACCGGTTTTTGAGTTTCTCAAACGGGAGATCAAGGAACAATACTCAAAGATTGTCATTGCAGGTGATTATAACTTACATCACAAGGAATGGGAGTCAAGGGCAGGTCCGAATACGGAAGCAGATGAAGTTGTTGAGTGGCTACATGAAAATGATATGATGTTAATTACTCCAAGAAATCAAAAAACATACAACAATAGAACCAATATTGATTTCATTTAGTGGAGTGGATGAAAATACACTAAGTGATAACTCAATTGTGGAGTGGGACATCTCTATGTCTCAGAGTAAAAAACGGGGATGAAGTTTTTACTTCGGTGAAGAGATTAAATATTAAGAATGCAGATTGGGAAAAGTTTGACAAGGAGCTTTCCTCTGCCATTAAAGATTTTGATGTGAATAACAAAGCTCTAAAATCAACTGACCAAATTGATGACCAAGCTAAAGTTCTCGAAGAGGCTGTGAAAAGAGTAATGGCAAAGTCTATGGAGGAAATTAAGGTGATGAGAAAGTCCAAGAGCTATAGGAATGAAAAATTGAGGGAAAAGGTGGAACAACTGTAAAACACCAAGCCCGTTAAATGCATTCTTCTTTGGCTTTTAAACTCAAGAAAAAGATTGATGAAGCAAAAAAAGAAAAAGACTTTTGACAACTGTATACGCAAAGCTAGTACTGATCAATGAAACAAATATTTGTCTAGTTTAGAAGGAAATGACATTTAAAAGATTTTAAAGTACATTAATCCAAAAAGCAGATACCATTATATTGCAAATAGAAAAGAAGACGGAAATCTTACTACAACAGATGATAAGAAAGACATGAAATATGAAAGGCTCTTGATCATTTTTGAAAAGAGGGGGAACTAGCTTTCCAGTTAGATTAGAGGATTGAAGTAGGCATCCCTTGAATAACTTTCCATTCAACTTCACTTTTCAAGATAGACGAGGATGTTAGCAACAGAAAATTATCTAATGTCAAATCCAAGTTGAACTGAAAGCAGCAATTTGTGTTCCAAAAGAAAGTCATTGAAAGTGAAATAGTTAAACTTGTTTTGCTTCTTGAGGTTTCTGAGGTTCTCAAGTATTGAGTGAGCTATAAAACCTCCAGTGCTGGCTGACTTGAAGGATGAAGGACCTTTTTGAACTTCAGCAGTGTCTCCATAGTTTGAAATAGTGATGAAAATAGTAACAACAGGCCAAAAGCAAATTTCTATAAATAAATAAACACGATAGATGATCTGAAAGTCGAAAAAATATTTAATAAAACAGATTGGCATAAATTTGAGTAGCGAGAAAAAGAAGAGAAAGAAAGAAGAAAAGTTTTAGTACTAGAGAAATTTTAAAAAGAGTACTGAGGAAATGTTGTTTAGCAGTAAAAAATTTTGATTGAAACAATTATTATTTTTATAATCAAGATGGGCAAGTAGTTGATAGTGAATAATGTAACAATGTAATTAAAGAAAACCATTGTTATGGGATAATGTTGAAATATGCCCTAGTGCCATGGCATACATTTTAACAATGATATTTGAGGCACTCAATTTTGGAGATCATATTATATAATTCTGTATCTTGGGTATTCCACCATAATATGTTTTAAAGTCTCCAAAATTTGACCACATTTTGAGTACAAATATTTTTAGTTCCAATGTCATGCTTGGTGAAGAATATCTACAAGAAAAGTTTAAATTATTGACAATCATTGTTTAAAATCCAAAATTCTTTGATATCGATGGGATATATCTGGTTAGAATGGTTTTATTGGATTCACTTTTAAAAGGCAATGTTAATAGTGCTTTCAATCAGAAAATAAACAATTTATGAGAAAGCGTTTCATAAGAACTTTAAAATTATAGGTTTTTAGGCCAGGTTCTCAGTGACCATATTTTGATTTGATAATGTAATATATTATTATAAACGTTAAGAACAGCATTTAGTTGTAATTTTAAGGAAATGAAATTGGCATCCCTCCCTTTTTCCAATAATGGGTTTATTGTGAATCCCGAGTCCATTTTAACTAAATAAATTGTTAGCATTTAATAATAATGGAATATTTATATATATATATATATATATATTGATAGTGAGTTTAATTATATGAGTATTTCTATTTATAGAATTTATTTAATAAACAATATTTTTGTATCATTTTATATACCCTATTCTTCTTATACTGACAGTTGCAAATATAACTTTTCTGTTAATAGAATCGCTTATAAAATTAGTGTCGTACCAGTAATGGTTTCTCTATCTTTATCAAAAGATAGAATATAACAATTTCTTACCTCTCTCTCTTTTTGTCATTTCGTGACAGTTCACTAACATAAATCACAGGAATTCACCCACTTACAAATTGGTGTGTTTCAAGATGACCAGGGTCCTTGTATTTTTAATTAATATAAACGAAAACAAAGTTTTAGGAACTGGAACTAAAATCATGAAGTAGCTAAGTCTTCTTTTAAATGATTTCTTTTCTCTGGAAGATGATCAATTATAAATAAGAAGCTACATCCTCTAAGAACAAGAACATGTATAACCAAGAAAATAATTACATTTTCATCTATATTTTATGTGTTAAATACATATTTTACACATATTTTTTACTTAAAGAACTATACCTATTATATTTATTGACCACAGGAATCTTGAAAGTCTTTGAGTTGAGGGATTCCAACATAATTTTACTTTACCCAAAAACCGAGCTTTTTCTTATTTACACCTTTGTTTGAACCTTTGTATGAATATTGTTGTTAAGCCATATCATTTCTATAGTTAGTACCACACTAGAAATTTTATATTATCCATCTTTTTCACATAAGCGTAGTTTCAAAATATATATCTTTGTTTATTTTTATTTTTATTTTGGGGGCATACTTATTAATCTTTTATGTATCATCATTTGCGAAATTTTTTTTTGGATACTTAACTAAGTATAGATTATAATCAGAAAATAAAACTGACCAAAACTATAAAAAACCAGCAATTATTCATTGATTTTGTTAGATAATATTTTAACTTAAACAACGAATTAATTTTCCATAGTTAGTTAAAAAAATAAATAAATATTAACAAAAACCGCTTTACAACAATTTAAAGAATCATTTCAAACAACCGTTTATATTATTTAAATGAACACAGAAAGTTACAGCCAAAGGATTTACTTGATCTAAATCTGAAACGGGCTCTATGAAGGTTAATTTTTTTTTGATGAAAGTTTTAGAATTCTAGCAAATGTAGAAATAATAGGATAACTTCTGAAATTTTTCATTCTTAAAATTATATAGCACCTCAAATTATAAAGTTTTCGGATTTGTTGGTTAATTGATGTAAATAATTACGTTCAATTGAACCACAACACTATATATCTAATACTGTCATTGGTATTCAATTTTTTTAAGTTTTTTTTTTTCTCTGTGATCTTAAGTTATATATATTTTACTTAATTCATTTAAAAAATATCCGATTAGAAGTATTTTTAAAAGTGATTTTAAATATGTGTTTGTTTAATTACAAACTAGTATAATTTTTTTAAAAAATTTCTAATATTAAGCCAAGATGATTATAATTTTAATAAAAAATTACATTTTCTGTTTCTGATTATCATTTGGGTTTATGTTTAGTTTTAAAAAAAATAACACTTAGAAACCAAAAAAATTAAAAAGCTTTTAATTTATTTGAAAAAAAAATAGCTTTAAGTTTCTAAAGCTTTGGACTCAAAAAGTTTTTTTGTTGTCTTATTCGATTGATAGTTTTTGTATTTTATTTATTAAATAATATTTGCCCAAAAATCCATTTAATAGAATATTTTATATCGTTTTCTTTAATAACAAACTGGCTTGTATTTTCCAATGCTTCTATTAAGAGATGGTCACAAGGTCTTTTGTTTAGTGTCTTTAGAAGAGACTAAAACATTTGGTAGCAAATTTCAATCTTTTACCATTAATGCTAACCGAGGTATTCATTTTAAGGGTATTCCTGGTGTGTACTAAAAAAATAGCAAGCAATATTTGAAGATTTTGTAAGTTTTTTTAGTCAAAAGTGCCTTGTACTAAGATCACAAAGAGAAGGCGTAGAAAATCTAGTATTACCACTTTTATATTTTTTTCTGGTATCCTTCTCCTTAGTTTCAGTGTCTGCAATTAATATCTTGGGTGTTTTATTTTGTTAGTTTACCAACTTAACAGTCCCTCATGTTCAGAAAGTGTCGGCAAATGTTGCCGTAGATCTTAGTAACAATCTGATGATAGACATTGTCAGCGAGATCCATATGTGTGGGTAAGAAAGAATAAACAAACTTTTTGTGAAGTATATATCTTAGTGAAACAAAAATTTTAGTAGTAGTAGGGTAGTGTTGTAAAAAAAAAAAAAAAAAAAAAAAAAGCTATGATCTTTAGTCTAGGGTTTTGGGATAATGGTAAAATGGTAAAATGGTTTGTTTTAACAAAAGTTTCTCATCAGTGGATCAACTGGTTTTGTTTACCGGCGAAGAGACTGTTAGCAAAGTTAAAAAGATAAAATCAAGCTATTAAAAAAATTCAGTTATCATTTTTTATTTGTAAGAAATAATCTATTTTTTTGCTTTTAAAAGATATTTTTTTTTTCTCTGTTAGTTAGTTCTAAAAGTCAATCAACTTGGTTTGATTTAATTTTTTTTTTTTTCAAGTCACTTTTAAGATCTTTCTATTAACGTTTATACTGGTTTCAATAATATTTATTATGACTATATAGTATTGAAGTATTTTAACAAATAGTTCAATTTTCACTTTTTGTTATATTTTTTTATTTATTTTTAGTAAATTTTTATTCACTGTCATTCTTTTTTCAAGCCACTTTGCAAATATTTTTTTATTTAATTTATTTCAACCTCGTCATTCCTTTTTGGACTTTTCATTTTACACCGGGTCTTGCGTTAGCAATTATACTATAACTTGTTTGGAAATTTGTTATCTTTCTTTTGGATATCTTTGAATTCCCTTCTAAATTTGGCTTTTTTTTATCTTAGGTACAAATAAATGTGCCTTGTGCCTGTACCTTTGACACTTCAGGTACACTATGTACCTTTCATAGTTGGATGAGATTATTTATCTCCATGAGAACTTGGTGAGTTTTTTTTTTAGGTAAAAAGTAAGAGGAAGAAGAGTGGTTACGATGTAGTATTCTTTATCTTAACGCAAAAACCCATTTCCTTGGGAAATAGTAAAGATTTGTTTTTATAATGAAACCAGGTTACCAAACAAAAATAAGAAAAAAGAAAAAAGAAAACTAGTTTGCAAGACTATTTTTTTTTATTATTGCCCCTTTATTTTCTTTTTGGTGATGTAACTTGCTTCGACTTCGATCTTGCATTTCCAAAAACAAAAACAAAAACAAAAATAAAAATAAAAATAAAAATAATTAAGCTTATATATAATAAGATTAACTATTTTTTTCAAATCTTAAAAGTGGATAAGACCGTTGATTAATTTTGTCAACAGAATTGAATAAAAAAACTCGGCCGGGTTTGTTTTTTTTAATAATTAATGATCATAAGCATAAACTTATCACAATATTGTTACACGTTTGTG